CAAAACACTGTTGAGGCCCCTGAGAAGGTATCAGTCTCTTGAAAAAAAAACACAGTTGGTGTCCCCGAGGTTTCAGATTCTTAAGATAAGACAGTTAAATCCCCTGAAAAGGTTTCAGATTCTTAAGAAAAATACAATAGGGGATCCTGAGAATGTTTCAAATTCTTAAAAAAAAAGACTGTTGTAGCCCCTGAGAAAACTCCAGATTGTTAAGAAAAGACAGATAGTGCTCCTGAGAAGGAATCAAATTCTTAAAAAAAAGACAGTTTGGTCCCCGGAGAAGGTTTCAGATTTGTAAAAAACAAAGTTGAGGCCCCTGAGAAGGTATCAGTCTCTTGAAAAAAAAAACACATATTTGGGGCCCCGGAGAAGGTTTTAGATTCTTATAGAAAGAAAATTGGGGCCCCTGAGAAAGTTTCAAAATATGAAAAACATACAGTTGGGGCTCTTTGAAAATATCAGATTCTTAAGAAAAGACAGTTGGGGACACTGAGATCTCAGATTATTTAAGAAAAAACACTAGGGGCCCCTGAGAAGATTCCAGAGTTTTAAGGAAAGACAGTTGGTGGTGCCACTGAGAAGGAATCAAATTCTTGAAAAAAAAAGACAATTGAGGTTCCTGAGAAGCTTTCAGATTCTTAAAAAATCACAGTTGGGGCCCCTGAGAAGGTTTCAGATTCTTAAAAAAATACAGTTGGGGCCCATGATGAGATTCCAAATATTTAAGAAAAGACAGTTAGGGCCCCTGAAGTCTCAGATTCTTTAAGAAAAAAGACAGTTGGGGCCCTTGAAAAGATTACAGAGGCTTAAGAAATGACAGTTGATGCCACTGAGAAGGAAGCAAATTCTTGAAAAAACGACAGTTGAGGCTTCTGAGAAGCTTTCAGATTATTAAAAAAAACACAGTTGAGGCCCCTGAGAAGGTTTCAAATTCTTAACAAAAAGACAATTGGGGCCCCTGAGAAGGTTTCAAATTATAAAAAAAGACAGTCGGAGCCTCTGAGACGATTCCAGGTTCTTAAGAAAAGACAATAATTAGTTGGGGCCCCTGAGAACGTTATACAGTTGAGGCTCCTGAGAAGCTTTCAGATGTTTAAAAAACACAATTGAGGCCCCTGAGAAGGTTTCAGATTCTTAACAAAAAACAATTTTGTGCCCCTGAGAGGATATCAGATTCTTAAAGTAAGACAGTTGGAGTTCCGGAGAAGGTTTCAGATTTTTATAGAAAGTCAATTGGGGTCCCTGAGAAGGTTTCAGATTCTTAAGAAAAGACAGTCGGAGTTCCTGAGGTCTCAGATTCTTTAAGAAAAAGACATTAGGGACCCCTGAGAAGATTCTAGAGTCTTAAGAAAGTTTGTGCCTTTGGGAAGGAATCAAATTCTTGAAACAATACAGTTGAACCTCCTGAAAAGCTTTCAGATTCTTAAAAAACACAGTTGAGGCCCTTGAGAAGGTTTCAAATTCTTAACAAAAAGACAATTGGGGCCCCTGAGAAGGTTCCAGATTCTAAAAATAAATACAGTTGGGGCCCCTGAGAAGATTTCGGATTATTCTTAAGAAAAGACAGTTACTGCCCCTGAGATCTCAGATTCTTTAAGAAAAAGACAGTTGGGGCCCTTGAGAAGATTCCAGATTCTTAAGAAAAGACAGTGGGAATTCCTGAGGTCTCAGATTCTTTAAGAAAAAGACATTGGGAGGCCCTGAAAAGATTTTAGAGTCTTAAGAAAGTTTGTGCCACTGAGAAGGAATCAAATTCCTGAAACAATACAGTTGAACCTCCTGAGAAGCTTTCAGATTCTTAAAAAAAAAACACAATTGGGGCCCCTGAGAAGGTTTCAAATTCTTAACAAAAAGACAATTGGGGCCCCCGAGAAGGTTTCAAATTATAAAAAAAAGACAGTTGGAGCATCTGAGAACGATTCCAGGTTCTTAAGAAATAATTATTTGGGGCCCCTGAAAAGGTTTCAGATTCTAAAAAAAAATACAGTTGGAGTCCCTGAGAAGATTTCAGATTCTTAAGAAAAGACAGTTGCGGCCCCTGAGATCTCAGATTCTTTAAGAAAAAGTCACTTGGGGCCCTTGAGAAGATTCCAGAGGCTTAGGAAATGACAGTTGGTGCCACTGAGAATGAATCAAATTCTTGAAAAAAAGACAGTTGAGGCTCCTGAGAAGCTTTCAGATGTTCAAAAACACAGTTGAGGCCCCTGAGGTTTCAGATTCTTAGCAAAAGGACAATTTTGTGGCCCTGAGAGAATTTCAGATTCTTAAAAAAAGACAGTTAGTTGGGGCTCCTGAGAAGGTTTCAGATTCTTAAAATAAGACAGTTAGCGTCCTGGAGAAAGTTTCAGATTTTTATAGAAAGTCAATTGGGACCCCTGAGAAGGTTTCAGATTGTTAAGAAAAGACGGTGGGAATCCCTGAGGTCTCAGATTCTTTAAGAAAAAGACATTATGGGCCATTAAGAAGATTCCAGAGTCTAAAAAAATTACTTGATGTCCCTGAGAAGGAATCAAATTCTTGAAAAAAAGATAGTTGAGGCTCCTGAGAAGGTTTCAGATTCTTAAAGAATACACAGTTGAGCCCCTTGAGAAAGTTTCAGATTCTTGAGAAAAAGACAATCGGGGCTCCTGAAACGATTCCAGGTTGTTAAGAAAAGACAATAATTAGTTGGGGCAACTGAGAAGGTTTCAGATTCTTAAAAAAAAAGACAGTTGGTGCCCCTGAGAAGAATTCAGATTCTTAAGAAACGACAGTTACGGCCCCTGAGATCTCAGATTCTTTAAGAAAAAGACAATTAGAGCCCTTGAGAAGATTCCAGAGGCTTAAGAAAGGAATCAAATTCAAGAAAAAAAGACAGTTGAGGCTCCTGAGAAGCTTTCAGATGTTTAAAAACACAGTTGAGGTCCCTGAAAAGGTTTCAGATTCTTAACAAAAAGACAGTTGGGGCCCCTAAGAAGATTCCAGAGTCTTAAAAAACCACTTGATGTCCTTGAGAAGGAATCAAATTCTTGAAAAAAAGACAGTTGAAGCTCCTGAGAAGATTTAAGATTCTTAAAGAATACACAGTTGAACCCCCTAAGAAAGTTTCAGATTCTTGAGAAAAAGACAATTGGGGCCCCTGGAAAGGTCTCAGATTCTTAAAAAAAAGTCAGCTGGGACTCCTGAGAAGATTCCAGATTCTTAAGAAAAGACAGTTAGTTGGGGGCCCGGAGAAGGTTTCAGGTAGTTAATAAAAAAAACAGTTGGGGTCCCTGAGGATGTCTCAGATTCTTCAGAAAAAGACCGTTGGGCCTCCTAGAAGGTAACAAATTCTTGAAAAAAAAAGCACAGCTAGGCCACCCAGGAAGGTTTCAGATTCTTAAAATCAGGGAGTTGGGGCCCCTGAGAAGGTTTCAGATTCTTAAAATAAGGCAGTTGGGGCCTCTGAGAAGGTTTTAGATTCTTAGGAAAAGACAGTTGGGGCCCCCATGTTTCAGGTTTTTAAGAAAAAAACAGTTGGATCTCCTGAGAAAGTTTCAGATTCTTAAGAACAGACAGTTGGGAGTCCAGAGAAGGTTTCACCTTCTTAAATAAACATCATATTCTTAAAAGACAGTTTGGGCCCCAAGAAAGTTTCATTTATTATAAAAAAGACATTTGGGGACCCGACAAACGTTTCAGATTCTTAAAAAAAAATGGTCGGAGTTTGTTTCCACAGAACTTACCTCGCGCCTGAATTAAGTATATGTCGGGCGGATCTAGATGCTTAGGAACCTAATACTATTATTTATTTGTGACCTCTTTTTCCTAATATGAATGGGAACTATTTAGTTAGAAAATTTAATTCACAAATTGTCATTACTTTAATATATGTGGGAATAAACAAAAAAGTAGAAGTCTGAGGTGGAAAAAACCTTATAACTTTTCGACATTTTACTAACTCCTGTTTATTTATCTTGAAATTTAAGTTTCCGTTTTTAGTTTCCACTGAGAAATTATTTGCGCTCAGACATATATATTATTTAACCTAATACCTAAGGAATAAATTATAGTGTTAATTTTGAACTAAATCGGGATAATTATAATCTGAATACCGTAAGCACTGTTCATTCCAATAGGGACAGTTCCACACAAAGTTAATTATGCAAGTGGATTTTTTTAATTTTGAACCAACTATAAGATTCGCTCATAAATGGGTAGAAGATACTGCACACTTTTGAAATTACTGAACGGACAGAAAAGCAGAATAATAATCAGAAACGATACTGAAAACAAAACACAACCGTCAGCCGACGGCAGCTCTTTCTGTACGTAGCTGACTGGCTGCAAGTCATAAATTACTGGAACGGCCGGAAGTAGCCAGTTTTGCATTTTGCACAATCTCGAAATCGTGTGTCAAAAAACGCTCATCGAATACAAAATTGTATTTTTATAACAACCAAAAAAAAAAGAACTCATAAATTTTATGACGCCACACAAGTTATATTTACAACAGATAATGAGATAACCAGCGGGAAAAATGGCTTCTCAGCAACATGCGTAGTGCTTGAAGTGTTTATGTTTATATATAGGAAGAATGTCACGTAAAAATTTGTTTCAAAACACAGGACTAAAATTATTTATGAGTCTCATTTGAACAAAATGTTCTGAATATTATTATTACAATTCTTATTTTATCATTATTTTATTATTATAAAGACGTGCGTATTCTCACATTATCGAAGAAATGGGGTGATTCATTCTTAATTTGATCAACAAAAAAATGAAACAGAGATTAATTTAATTTTATTTATTTTATCTAATTAAAAAAGTCCGAACAGACCGCAGACAGACAGACGGAAACGGGAGACCTACTTCTTCGTACGCTAGGGGTTATGAAAATTTTCGGGAGGTTTTAGAGGCATTTTTGGTTTTATTCCAAAATACAGGCTGTTTCATTTCAAGTAGTCGTTTCAAAACTACTATCTGTATAGCATGTACAAATTTCGTCAGTTTTTTAGAAAATCTGTTCCCTTTTCCAGGTAGTATGTCGGATGGCTCTGGATGAGCGGAAGCAGTACCGGGAGCGGAGGCGGTGCAGCGGCGCTTCGAGCCGCCGCGAGTGCAGGAGACGTAGCAGGATGCAGTCGTTACCTGGGAACGGCTCGCTGCGTCCGCTTCTCGAGGGACGAACACGGCAGGTCCGCCCTCCACCTGGCCGCCAGCGCCGGCCACGGCCCCGTCGTCAGGCTCCTACTCAACGTCGCCGCCCCCAAGGAGGTCGACAGTCCGGACGGTGCCGGCTGCACCGCCCTTCAAAGGGCCGCTGCAGACGGACACGAGGAAGTGCTGAGGCTGCTGTTGGCCCGGGGGGCAGATGTAGATAAGCAAGACAGTGTGGTGAGTGTCAACAGGATTAAAATAAACCCATTCGGGCAATTCCACTTTTATGATTAAGCAAAACCAATTAAACCGATTCGTGTAATTTTATAGGCGATAAAACGTTGATTGACGCCTGAAATTTGGCGACTGGTTCGTCAGTCACCCCCTGCCGGCGTTGTTGAAATGCCCAATTTTCCGCTGATAGTCTTTGATTTATATCCCTTGAACAGTACACGACAGTAAGTTTTTATTGGATAGTAAAAGCTGTCTCGAGAAGCCCCGACTAACCTAAAAAAATTCAAATTTATGTTTGTTTGGAATAATAAATATTTTATAGTTAACTGCCAAATGATGTTCTGGTTATAAAACAAATCGTGGGTCCTTTAATTAGGACTATTCTTGCTGACTGCAGCGTAAGATCTATTTCGGTTTCTTTGTACTAAAATCACGATAATTTTGGGTATTAGTATCATAATGTGCATTCTGGCGCGTGATCTCTAATGCATTATTTTGGAGCTGGCAAACGTGTTGTCGGATTTATGGATTTTGAACGTTCGTAAATAAATAATAACGAAGAGGAAATGTCAAGAATGTTTGGTGGGGGCAGAGTAAGAGAATTTTAGATATTACAAACACGAGCATAAAGATTTTGCGAATTGTGGACCCATAACCTGGTCTTCCAGGAAACAACCAATAGTTTGACTTTAAGGACAGAAGTTGAGTATATATTTGCTACAGAGCGTGTCCAGTTTTAAATCTTAAGAACGTTAAAAAACGACTTACAATCTGTGTATACAAGCGTCACGAAAATTAATTTGACAAAAAATTTTCATAGTAACGAAAATTTGTCGTCTTGTCCAAGGTGACAAAGAACACTCCCACAAAATCTAAAAACAACTAACTTTGTTTTACAGCCTGCCAAGTTCATCTATCATCATCTAATCTTTCACACGTGGTCACACCATTGTCTTAAATTTATTTTTATCCCTGACTTGGAGTCGCCGCGGACATGAAGGAACCACAATTTTCTGAAAGTGATCGTCATTGTTGACCACTCTGTGTAATATTTACACCTGTTGCCCATCCATAAACGGACCAACTCCCCACACCAAAATTTCCACAAAAACACCTCAATCTCCACGATCCAAAAATAAAATTCATAATACCTCACCCCCACTGACGCTCTTTTGTTTTGATAGTCCTGACATCAAAATAATCCTCTTAAAAATAGAGCCAAAGTATAAAAAAGCTCATAAAAATAAAGAAGGCCGTAAACCGGGTTATTAGAATAATAAATAACGAATATAGACGCAATTAATCACGCACTAAACTTAATATCACTTTCCAACGGCCTTACGCTTCAAAAATGGACGAAAACCAGTACTTTGCGTCCTTTTACTCGCAGAGCTCCACTTCCGTCCCTCTTCTACTTCACCGTATGAAAATAATAAAAGTATATCATCAATTGGGTGTGCCGCAGGGCTCCGTCGTCGCGCCTCTCCTCTCCCCAAATTCGTCGGTGGCGGCGCCACATGATTAATTCCTCGTCGCGACATTGTGAAAAACGCCTAATTTATGTCCCTAATCGCGTTAGTTAAAACCCGTATCACACCATGACAAAGTTGAACAAATTGCCGTCGTTAATCTACGATATTTGTATAGGCAATTGCTGCCCACCGGTCGCTATCGCTTGTTTATGTCGACGCGTGACAGTCGATAAAGAGGGCGCTTTTATGGCAAGGACGTAAATCTAGACGGCGCTCCGGAAAAATCGTGCGGTCCGCTAGTTCGTTTTTTCGTTCCGGATTGTGCGAAAGGTTAGATCGCGTAATGGAAAATGTCGTCGTAATTTATCGCATGGGCGATAAATCAGCGTCGTATATTACGGCTAACGAGCCAGGGATTATTAAATATTTAAATATAGTTTAATTATCTCGATATTGGTGTCGCGTTACATAATTAATAAGATTAAATCTGGGCTTTGAGTGTAATGCGTTTTATTACACAAGCATTAGATTATCTCGGATTGGATCGATGGCTCGCAGTGGTTATTGTTGAAATGTGGGAGATTAATAGTTCATACGCGGTTCGAGAGCGTCCCGCTTTGTTTCTTGAAGCGGATTTGAATTTTTCCAGAACCGTTTCAAGAAACGATGGACGTCGAGCGGGTTTAAAAAATACGTTGTCGGGTCGTGACGTGTGTAATTATGGATGTAATAATTTTATATTTACAGTGACAGTAGTGAAATTCGGTTAGAAGTCCGTAGGTGGGGACATTTTTCATTTTCTGGCTGATTTATCTATGTGGAGTGGAGCTGGAAATTTAATCTATTAATATTTCAACATTCGTGTTCGTATGTAATTAATTTGTTGTAATAGCTGTAAGTTTGAGCGTCGACGTAATTTATTGGAAATTATTTGTTGCCTGATAACCAGTTTCGATACGTTTAATTGCTTGAGTACGGGTCGTGAAGCTCCATAGCGATCTTGCTATATTAATCGAAAGTATTCTTTTTAGCAACAGGAACTAACACTGGCTTAGATGTTGACTGGAATTTAGATATCAGCAGAAGTTGGAATAACACAACCATCATTAATATTTTTTGGTTTAATATTATGTTTTCATTTGGTCATTTAATTTTATAAAATAACTTAGTCGTATACTAGTGGTTTATGCATCCCTCTTGATGTTTATCCTAAATATTATGAGTCGTTTTTTAAGTTACAGGGGTTATCGTAAAACATTAGATTCACAAAATTTAATTTTATAATTTTTCGAAGAAAGTGGATTTCTTGGTCTGTATTTCAGACTAGAATTAAAAAAATATTGAAATTCAGTAGTGCAAAATAATAAATTTTAATCAGCTAAATATTCTAAACGTGATTGGACTCGAGAAATAATACAATTGGGACCCACGAGAAGGTTTCAGATTCTTAAAAAAGACGGTTGGGACTCCTGAGAAGGTTTCACTTTTTTTCAAAAATACCAATTGGGATCCCCGAGAAGGTTTTACATTGTTAAAAAAACACTTGGGACCCACGAGAAGGTTTCACTTTCTTAAAAAAAAATACATTATTTGGGACTCTCGAGACGGTTTCAGCTTCTTAAGAAAAACGCTTGGGCCCCCTGAGAAGGTTTCATCTTCTTTAAAAAATAATAATTGAGAGCCCCGAGAAGGTTTCACTTTCTTGAAAAAATCATCCGTTGGGACCCCTGAGAAGGTTTCAGATTCATTAAAGAAAGACTCTTGGGGGCCCTGGGAAGGTTTCACCTTCTTAAGAATAACCCTTGGGCCCTCGAGAAAGTTTCACCTTCTTTAACAAAGAATAATTGAGAGCCCGGAGAAGGTTTCACATTGTTAAAAAAAAACACTTGGACCCCCGAGAAGGTTTCACTATCTTTAAAAAATACCAAGTGAGATCTCTGAGAAGGTTTCACATGGTTAACAAAAACAATTGTTAGGACCTCCGAAAAGGTTTCAGATTCTTAAAAAAAAAGACGGTTGGGACTTCCGAGAAGGTTTCAGATTCATAGGAGAAAGACTCTTGTGACCCCTGAGAAGGTTTCGACTTCTTTAAAAAAGAATAGTTGCGACCCTCGAGAAGGTTTCAGCTTCTTAAGAAAAACACTTGGGCCCCCTGAGAAGGTTTCAGATTCATGAGTGAAAGACTCTTGTGACCCCTGAGAAGGTTTCGACTTCTTTAAAAAAGAATAGTTGCGACCCTCGAGAAGGTTTCAGCTTCTTAAGAAAAACACTTGGGCCCCCTGAGAAGGTTTCAGATTCATGAGTGAAAGACTCTTGGGGCCCCTGAGAAGGTTTCACCTTCTTTAAAAAATAATAATTGAGAGCCCCGAGAAGGTTTCACATTGTTAAAAAAAAACACTTGGACCCCCGAGAAGGTTTCACTATCTTTAAAAAATACCAAGTGGGATCCCTGAGAAGGTTTCACACGACTAACAAAAACAATTGGGGCCCCCGAGAAGGTTTCACTTTTCTAAAAAAAAAACATCAGTTAGGACCTCCGAAAAGGTTTCAGATTCTTAAAAAAAGACGGTTGGGACTTCCGAGAAGGTTTCAGATTCATGGCAGAAAGACTCTTGTGATTCCTGAGAAGGTTTCGACTTAAAAAAAAAGAATAGTTGCGACCCTCGAGAAGGTTTCAGCTTCTTAAGAAAAACACTTGGGCCCCCTGAGAAGGTTTCAGATTCATGAGTGAAAGACTCTTGGGGCCCCTGAGAAGGTTTCACCTTCTTTAAAAAGTAATAATTGAGAGCCCCGAGAAGGTTTCACATTGTTAAAAAAACACTTGGACCCCCGAGAAGGTTTCACTATCTTTAAAAAATACCAAGTGGGATCCCAGAGAAGGTTTCACATGGTTAACAAAAACAATTGGGGCCCCCGAGAAGGTTTCACTTTTCTAAAAAAAAACCGTCAGTTAGGACCTCCGAAAAGGTTTAAAATTCTTAAAAAAAGACGGTTGGGACTTCCGAGAAGGTTTCAGATTCATGAGAAAAAGAATCTTGGGGCCCCTGAGAAGGCTTTAGCTTCTTAAGAACAACACTTGGGCTCCCTGAGAAGCTTTCAGATTCATGAGTGAAAGACTCTTGGGGCCCCTGAGAAGGTTTCACATTGTTAAAAAAACACTTGGGGCCCACGAGAAGGTTTCAGATTCATAAGAAAAAGACTCTTGGGGCCCCTGAGAAGGTTTCACCTTCTTAAGAATAACCCCTAGGCCCCCGAGAAGGTTTCACCTTCTTTAAAAAATACCATTTGGGACCCTCGAGAAGGTATCTCATTGTTAACAAAAACACTTGGGGCCCCTATAAAGGTTTCACTTTTCTAAAAAAAAAAAACATCAGTTGGGACCTCTGAAAAGGTTTCAGATTCTTAAAAAAAAGACGGTTGGGTTCTCCGAGTAGGTTTTAGATTCATGAGAGAAAGACTCTTGGGGCCCCTGAGAAGGTTTCAGCTTCTTTAAAAAAGAACAATTGGACCCTCAAGAAGGTTTTCCCTTCTTAAGTACAACACTTGGCCCTCCGAGAATGTTCCAGATTCATGAGTGAAAGACTCTTGGGGCCCCTGAAAAGGTTTCACCTTCTTTAAAAAAGAACAGTTGCGACCCTCGAGAAGGTTTCAGCTTCTTAAAAAAAAACACTTGTGTCCCCGAGAAGGTTTCAGATTCATGAGAAAAAGACTCTTGGGGCCCCTGAGAAGGTTTCGCCTTTTATAATAAAGAACAATTGGGACCCTCGAGAAGGTTTTAGCTTCTTAAGAACAACACTTGGGCCCCCGAGAAGGTTTCAGATTCATAAGAGAAAAACTCTTGGGGCCCCTGAGAACGTTTCACATTCTTTAAAAAATACCATTTGGGACTCCCGAGAAGGTTTCAGATTGTTAACAAAAACACTTGGGGCCCCCGAGAAGGTTTCACTTTTCTAAAAAAAACATCAGTTGGAACCCCTGGAAAGGTTTCACATTATTAAAAAAAAGACGGTTGGGGCCTCCGAGAAGGTTTCCGATTCATAGGAGAAAGACTCTTGGGGTCCCTGAGAAGGTTCCGGCTTTTTCAAAAAAGAACAATTGGGACCCTCGAGAAGGTTTCAGCTTCTTAAAAACAACACTTGAACCCCCGAGAAGGTTTCAGCTTCTTAAGAACAACACTGGGCCCCCTGAGGAGGGTTCAGATTCATGAGTGAAAGACTCTTGGGGCCCCTGAGAAGGTTTCACCTTCTTTAAAAATAACAATTGGGATCCCCGAGAAGGTTTCACATTGTTAAAAAAACACGTGGGGCCCCTGAGAAGGTTTAACTTTCTTAAAAAAAAAACAGCAGTTGGAACCTCCGAAAAGGTTTCAGATTCTTAAAAAAAGACGGTTGGGGCCTCCGAGAAGGTTTCAGATTCATGAGAGAAAAACTCTTGGGGCCCCTGAGAAGATTTCACCTTCTTAAGTATAACCCCTTGGCCCCCGAGAAGGTTTCAACTTCTTTGAAAAATAATAATTTGGAGCCCCTAGAAGGTTTCACATTGTCAAAAAAAAAACACTTGGAGCCCCGAGAAGGTTTCAGTTTCTTTAAAAAATAATAATTGGGAGCCCCAAGAAGGTTTCACATTGTGAAAAAAAAAACACTTGTAGCCCCCGAGGTTCTCCTTTCCTAAAAAAAAACATCAATTGGAACCCCCGAGAAGGTTTCAGATTCATAAGAGAAAGACTCTTGGGGCCCCTGAGAAGGTTTCACCTTCTTTAAAAAATACCAATTGGGACCCCCGAGAAGGGTTCACATTGTTACCAAAAACACTTGGGGCCCCCGAGAAGGTTTCACTTTCTTTAAAAAAAAAAACATCAGTTGGAACCTTCGAAAAGGTTTCAGATTCTTAAAAAAAAGACTGTTGGGGCCTTCGAGAAGTTTTCAGATTCATGAGAGAAAGACTTGGGGCCGCTGAGAAGATTTCACCTTCTTAAGTATAACCCCTTGGCCCCCGAGAAGGTTTCAACTTCTTTAAAAAATAATAATTTGGAGCCCCTAGAAGGTTTCACATTGTCAAAAAAAAAAACACTTGGAGCCCCGAGAAGGTTTCAGTTTCTTTAAAAAATAATAATTGGGAGCCCCAAGAAGGTTTCACATTGTGAAAAAAAAAACACTTGTAGCCCCCGAGGTTTTCCTTTCCTAAAAAAAAACATCAATTGGAACCCCCGAGAAGGTTTCAGATTCATAAGAGAAAGACTCTTGGGGCCCCTGAGAAGGTTTCACCTTCTTTAAAAAATACCAATTGGGACCCCCGAGAACGGTTCACATTGTTACCAAAAACACTTGGGGCCCCCGAGAAGGTTTCACTTTCTTTAAAAAAAAAACATCAGTTGGAACCTTCGAAAAGGTTTCAGATTCTTAAAAAAAAGACTGTTGGGGCCTTCGAGAAGGTTTCAGATTCATGAAAGAAAGACTCTTAGGGCCCTTGAGAAGGTTTCGGCTTCTTTAAAGAAGAACAACTGGGACCCTTGAGATGGTTTTCTCTTCTTACGAATAACACTTGCCCCCCCGAAAATTTTTCAGATTCATGGGAGAAAGATTTTTGGTGCCCCTGAGAAGGTTTCACCTTCTTTAAAAAAGCACAATTGGGACCCTCGAGAAAGGTTCACATTCTTAAAAAAAAGACACTTGGGCCCCTGAGAAAATTTCACCTTCTTAAAATAACACATCAGTTGGGACCCCGAGGGGGTTTCACCTTCTTAAAAAAAAGCTTTTTAAACAAAAGACATCCGTTGGGACCCCCGAGAAGGTTTCGGATTGTAAAAACAAAATTGATCGAAATTTATTTCGACAGAACTTCCCTTGTGCCTGAAGTATAAGTCTTAGAAATCCCGCTTTTCTGTGAAAATTATAAAATTAGACAGCAGTAGTGCATAATATTGAATTTTAATCAGCTAATAAATATTGTAGACATGATTGGACTCTAGTTATATCTATCCAACAAGTGCGTTTAATTTTATTCGATTTTCTTACCAAATCATCTGGCTACACTTTTCATTTTATAGCTCTGGATAATACAGATCGGAGAAAATGTATGCTATATCTTTCACATCCTTGGAAGATTTGGATAATTAAGTTACATTAATTACCATGTCAATATTTAAATCAAATTTTTGTTTTAATAAACTTTGAAACATCTTGTTTAGAGGGTTATTGATGATTACAATCTACATTAGATACTGTTCAATGTTATATTTTGGGACTTCCAAGAGATAAATGGTTCACCCCGTATAGTAAATTAAAATTTTTTAAATTACGGATTTAAAAAAAAATGAAGTACTTTGAAAGAATCTCCGGGACCCCTTTTGTTTTGTTTTTGAAGTAAATTGAAAGAGTCTCAGAGACACCTTTGGTTTTCTTTTTGAAGTAAATCGAAATAATCTCAGGGGCCCTTTGTGTTTTGTTTTTGAAGTAGATTGAAAGAATCTCGCGGACCACTTGTGTCTAGTTTTTAAAGTAGTTTGCGAGAATCTCGGCGAACTCTTATTTTGCTTTTGAAGTGGTTTGAAAGAATCTCGGAGACCCCTTTTGTTTTGTTTTTGAAGTTGTTTGAAAGAGTCTCGGGGACCACTTTGTTTTGTTTTTGACTGTAAAAATCTCAGGGGCCATTTATGTTTTGTTTTTGAAGTAGTTTGAAAATACCTCGGGGACCACTTGTGTCTCATTTTTGAAGTAGTTTGAAAGTATCTCGGGGACCCCTTTTGTTTTGTTTTTGAAGTAAATCGAGGAAATTTCAGGGACTCTTTGTGTATTGTTTCTGAAGTACATAGTTTGAAAGGATCTCGGGGACCGCTTTTGTCAAACTTTTTATTGTTGGTTTCTGTAGTTACCTTAGTTGTTCAATTACTGTATTAATGACGTTATTCTGTTTTATTCTTGTTGTTTCACTTAAATATTTCTCTATCATAATTGCTTGTGATAATACTAATAATGCACAAACAAATCCAGCATTGCCATCTGAAAAATTGCGCCACCTCTTCTACTGTCTCACCCACGCGTAAAATGAAATGGCAACAGCAAAGTGATGCGATAGATTGGATCTCCCTACCCTACTAACTAAAGTTGTAGTAGTAACCACAGATTCATTGAAAGTCGGTAATAAAAATAATGCGTGCTGCCACTATCTGCAAGAGCCACTAAAAATAATACCATCATAAGTTACTTTATCCTTCCAGTATCGCATCGTGCACTAGTAAAGCCTTACGTCCTACCATTCCTTATCTCTCCAGCTACCGTCATTTAAGCAATCTATGCATCAGACAATTTTATGTGGAAATAAAATTTAAATTATCCACTTTTTTTAACATAAACTGAAATCTGATATCTTACATTCTTAGAAAGTCACGAAACGTTGTTATGTAGGTGAGAAAACATGCTGAACAAACATGTTTACCTTTGTAGTCATTTAAAATAAATTAATTGCCTTCAAAGTTGGTCGGTAATGATTGAAATATACACTAGTTGCAAAAGATCAGGTTTGACACCATACTTCTTGACGGTAAATATTCAAATTATGTAATCGAATGTTTTGGAGGATTTTTCGGATTATTTCGACCACGACGTTTTATGAGTTATGTGCCTACCAAATTTATTTATGGTGTTGTATCAAATGGGTAATTTATAACATAGTTTAAGATTAAAATGCAGCAACCTACTTGTTCAGTAGTTGCTGGAAGTAGTCGGGGCCGTTTATCTCAATAAGTGTACACATTTATTAGAAACTATGAAGTAACGGTTGTTAATCTGGGTAGCAAAAATGTCTGTACACTGTTGAAAAAAAGACATGATATGAAAACTGAACAAGTTTGTGAAGGTACGTTAAAGGCGCAGTTACACGGTTGCAAGTTTGTCAAGACGCATACAATGTCGTAGACCCAAACTTGCTTGTTCAACGTGCAACTATATAAGTGGTGCTTAGTCTCTTACAACAACCATTATTTTTGATAGAGCTGATGATGGCTTTAAGTCGAAACCGGTATTTCATTACATTGCAACATCTAATTTGACAAAGTTAACTGTGGGGTCGACAGCGATTTTCCCCATTATTATGAATACTGTCTAATTATAATATTTTATATAAATTTCTTCATTTTAAGTAGGCGGCTACAGTTTGGTCCATAATTTTGAAACACAATTAAAACGCAAGCTTTATTAATAATAATCCTGATATTTAACACCCGTAGCTGTGGATATTATCTTCGTTAGAAACACAGTAATTGAAGTGGGTGTCAACGCTACAATCATAATTTCTCCATTCCAACTTCCAATTAACGAGAGAACATTAACACCAGAATAAGCAGTTTAATTCGCCTTATCTTTAATTGTATGCTTAGTTCAATAACTAGAATTGTGGTGCTAATTCTTGATAAAGAAATTACATGGTTATATAGTTTATCACCCAAGGAATAAAAGTGTAATGGACTAGAACCCCCACTATACAATTTTTGTCTTTTCAGCATGGCAACAGCGCCCTGCACGAAGCGGCATGGAAAGGCTACTCCAGATCCGTCCGACTGCTCGCCGCCGCCGGAGCCAGCCTGTCCCGCGCCAACGGCGGCGGCTTCACCGCCCTCCACCTCTGCTGCCAGAACGGGCACAACCAGTCCTGCCGGGAGCTGCTCCTCGCCGGCTGCGACCCCGACATCCAGAATAACTACGGCGATACGGCCCTGCACACGGCCGCCCGGTACGGCCACGCGGGTGTCACGAGGATCCTGATCTCGGCTCAGTGTCGCGTTTCCGAACAGAACAAGAACGGTGATACCGCCCTCCACATAGCGGCGGCTATGGGGAGGCGGAAACTGACAAGGATATTGCTAGAGGCGGGCTGTGATAAAAGTGTGCGTAACAAGCAGAACGAGACTGCCAGGGATATCGCGCTGCGGAAGGACCTCAACGAGATCCTGAACATTCTCGACGAGTGCGTCACGAAGAAGGAGAAGAAGGGGAAGGGGAAGAAGAGGTCGAAGAGCAAAGTGAGGTTCGACCCGAAGTACAATGCAGGTATTGGCAAGTTTTGGGGGGAATTGTGATGATAAAGCAAATGGTTACCAATATCATTGACATATAGTGAAAACAGTAACGGACCTAATATCGAGCCCTGGGGAGCTTTAATTTGACGTGTTGTATTTCTTGTGTCAGCATAGACGGCGTGTACTTCCAGTCCCTTAGATATTGCAATGATTATTCTATTTGCTTAGTGTTGAACGGTTACGAAAAAACTCGTGCTGATTGATAGTGATCATATTCTTAAATATCGGAGATTTACAGGGTTGCTAAAATGTATGGAAACAGTTGAATATCTCGGGAACGGTTAGTTGGATCTTCTTGGAATTTGGAATATATTTCAGAATACTCAAGCTCTATTTTCTGTAATGTTTTTAAACTTCAAACTTCATTTGTCTTCAAAATGCAAGGCTAACTTGATTTTTTTTAAATAGGAAACTTCTACATCCAGATTTAAAAATATTTTAATGAAACGATAAATTGGCACCATTAACAGAAACTGAACGAATAAAAAATAACGAAACCGGTAATGTTGGAAATCGTCAAAGATCCGGAATAGCAAAACTGTAGATATTGGTATATTTCCCATCTATGAAAACCTGCAGAGTCCGTCTGGTTTCAGCAAGATGGAGCACCAGCTCACTTCGGACGTCAAGTACGGTATTACTTGAATGAAACTTTTCCTTGAAGATGGATAAGACGAAGGATCGCAATTGAGTGGCCAGCTAGGTCACCCGATTTAACCCCACTCGACTTCTTTTCTCTGGGGTTATGTAAAAAATCGAGTTTATGCACAAAGTATCAAAGAACTCCAAGAAAGAATATTAAATGTGATTGCTGATATTCCTCCTAATATTCTAACAGATTCATTTGCATACTTTGTGTAACGTATTTACTATTACCAGGAAGTAAATGGAGAGCATTACGAACATTTGGTGTAAAATGTTGTTTAAATGTCAATTTAATCTTTTCTCAATAATGTAATTTTTTATTGAAATTTTTAAAAAAGCTATCATAATGTATTCACTATTTATAATTTAAATTTGCAGAAAATAGAATTTAGTTTTACTAGTACCTACTAAAATAAGACTGTTTTGGCAAATGATATACGCCCTTAGAACAGTGTGAGCGGGGCTAGTATCTGCTTAGATAAGATATATTTTGGCAAATGACATACCCTCTAAGGAAAGAGAGGGTGGGTGGGCGGGGTTAGTACTTGCTAAGATAAAACTGATTTTGGCAGATGACGTAACCTCTAAGGAAAGAGAGGGTGGGTGGGCGGGGCTAGTACTTGCTAAGATAAAACTGATTTTGGCAAATAACATACCCTCTAAGGAAAGAGAGGGTGGGTGGGGGGGGTTAGTAGTTGCTAAGATAAAACTGATTTTGGCAGATGACGTACACTCTAAGGAAAGAGAGGGTGGGTAGCGGGGGGGTTAGTTCTTGCTAAGATAAAACTGATTTTGGCAGATGACATACCCTCTAAGGAAAGAGAGGGTGGGTGGGCGGGGCTAGTACTTGCTAAGATAAAACTGATTTTGGCAAATAACATACCTTCTAAGGAAAGAGAGGGTGGGTGGGCGGGGTTAGTAGCTGCTAAGATAAAACTGATTTTGGCAGATGACATACCCTCTAAGGAAAGAGAGGGTGGGTGGGCGGGGTTAGTACTTGCTTAGATAAAACTGATTTTGGCAAATAACATACCTTCTAAGGAAAGAGAGGGTGGGTGGGCGGGGCTAGTTCTTGCAAAGATAAAACTGATTTTGGCAAATAACATACCCTCTAAGGAAAGAGAGGGTGGGTGGGTGGGGCTAGTACTTGCTAAGATAAAACTGATTTTGGCAGATGACATACCCTCTAAGGAAAGAGAGGGTGGGTGGGCGGGGTTAGTACTTGCTTAGATAAAACTGATTTTAGCAAATGATATACCTCCTAAGAACATAGTGAAATTCTGTACCCACAATTATTGCGAACATCATAAATGATCAGAAAATCTATATGCAAAATAATAGGTACACCTTCCACCCATCGTTGATTTTTTTCTTCTTTTTAATCAGATAGAGGGGCGGAGCTTATTTGCAAAATCCATATTTGTCCACAAAAATTGATCATATTAAACATTTTTAAGTTACTTTTGAAAATATGAGTACGGATAAGAAAAAAAAGCAAAATATAAGCCCCGCCCACCCACCCTATCTCAATTGTGATGAATTTTTTTATTCGTCGTAAACCGGGGGCGGAGCTTAATCGCAAAATCCATATCTGTTTACAAAAATTTACCATTTTAAACATGTTTTAAGTTTCGTGTTGTTAAAAGATGACTACGCTTATAATAAGTAAAAAAAAAACAAAATATAAGCCTCGCCCACCCACCCTGCCTCAATTCTAACGATTTTTTTATTCATCGTGAGCCAAGGAGGGAGAGCTGAATTTCAAAATCCTTATTTCTCTGCAAGAAATTAAAACAAGTTTTTGAGTTTCATGGTAAAGATTACAATGCATATTAATAATAAAAATAAAGCCAAAGATTAAGCCCCGCCCAAACCCGCCCCGATCTCAATCGTGATGAATTTTTGTTCGTTGTCAGATCGAGGGGCGGATCGTGATTGCAAAATCGATATTTCCCCAAATTAAAACATAACATCTTATTTTTTTTCTGTTTTTCGCCCCTAAAATTTTATGATGTTATTTACAATTTTGCTGAATAAATTGAATTCAAAATATGCAAAATAAGACACATTCACCATCTATCGTCGATTTTTTTCTTCTTTTTAATCATACTTATTGTAATGAATTTCCATTCGTTGTCAGATAGAGGGGCGAAGCTTAATTGCAAAATCCATATTTGTCCACAAAAATTTTCCATATTAAACATATTTAAGTTAATTTTGAAAATATGACTACGGATAATAAAAAAAGCAAAATATAAGTCCCGCCCACCCGCCCTGTCTCAATTGTGATGAATTTTTGTATTCGTTGTAAACTGGGGGCGGAGCTTAATTGCAAAATCCATATTTCTTTACAAAAATTTACCATTTTAAACATGTTTTAAGTTTCTTGTTGTTAAAAGATGACTGCGTATAACAAGAAAAAAAAGCAAAATATAAGCCCCGCCCACCCACCCTATCTCAATTGTGATGATTTTTTTTTATTCGTCGTAAACCGGGGGCGGAGCTTAATTGCAAAATCCATATCTGTTTACAACAATTTACCAATTTAAACATGTTTTAAGTTTCGTATTGTTAAAAGATGACTACGCTTATAATAAGAAAAAAAAACAAAATATAAGCCCCGCCCACCCACCCTGTCTCAATTCTGACGATTTTTTTATTCATCGTGAGCCAAGGAGGCAGAGCTTAATTTCAAAATCCTTGTTTGTCTGCAAGAAATTAAAACATGATTTTGAGTATCGTGTTAAAGATTGCAATGCATGTTAATAAAAAAAATAAAGCCAAAGATTAAACCCCACCCAAACCCGCCTCGAACTCAATCGTGATGAATTTTTATTGGTTGTCAGGTCGAGGGGCGGATCGTGATTGCAAAATCGATATTTCCTGAAAGGAATATGTTAATAATTTTTTTTCTATTCTTCTCCCCCGAATAAACTGAATTCAAAATATGCAACATAATATACTTTCCACCTATCGTCGATTTTTTTCTTCTTTTTAATCAAAATGAATTTTCATTCGTTGTTAGATAGGGGGGCGGAGCGTAATTGTAAAGTCCATATTTGTCTTCACAGATTTAGCATTTTAAACATTTTTAAGTTTCTTGTTGAGAAAAGATTACAATGCATAATAAAAGAAGGGAAAATACAAGCCCCACCCACCCCCCTAAGTCAATTGTGATGAATTTTTTTATTCGTCGTAAACCGGGGGCGGAGCTTAATTGCAAAATCCATATTTGTTTACAAGAATTTATCATTTTAAACATGTTTTAAGTTTCGTGTTTTTAAAAGATGACTACGCTATAATAAGAAAAAAAAAGCAATATATAAGCCCCGCCCACCCACCCTGTCTCAGTTCTGATGATTTTTTTATTCATCGTGAGCCAAGGAGGCAGAGCTTAATTTCAAAATCCTTGTTTGAGTGCAAGAAATTAAAACATGTTTTTGAGTATCGTGTTAAAGATTGCCCTGCATATTAAGAAAAAAAAAAAATAAAGCTAAAGATTAAACCCCACCCAAACCCACCTCGATCTCAATCGTGATGAATTTTTATTGGTTGTCAGGTCGAGGGGCGGATCGATATTTCCTGAAAGCAAGATGTTAATAATTTTTTTTTCTGTTTTTCTCCCCTAAAATTTGATGACATTGTCTACAATTTTGTCGAGTAAAGTGAATTCAAAATATGCAAAATAATACACTTTACACCTATCGTCGATTTTTTTCTTCTTTTTAATCATACGTATTGTGTTGAATTTTCATTCGTTGTTAGATAGGGGGTTGGAGCGTAACTGCAAAGCCCATATTTGTCGTCACAAATTTACCATTTTAAACATTTTTAAGTTTTTTGTTGAGACAAGATGACGACGCATAATAAAAAAAGGCAAAATATAAGCCCCGCCCACCCGCCCTAAATCAATTGTAATGAATTTTTTCATGCGTCGTAAACCGAGGGCGGAACTTAATTGCAAAATCCATATTTGTTTACAAAAATTTACCATTTTAAACATGTTTTAAAAACATTGTTGTTAAAAGATGACTACGTATAATAAGACAAAAAAAGCAAAACATAAGCCTGCCCACCCACCCGATCTCAATTGTGACGATTTTTTCATTCATCGTGAGCCAAGAAGGCGGAGTTTAATTTCAAAAACCCTATTTTGAATACTGTAAAACATTAAAACATGTTTTAGAGTATCGTGTTCGAAGAATACAATGCATATTAAGAAAAAATAAAGTCAAAGATTAAGCCCCACCCAAACCCGTCCCGATTTCAATCGTGATGAATTTTTATTCGTTGTCAGCTCGAGGGGCGGATCGTGATTGCAAAATCGATATTTCCCGAAAGCAAGTTAATAAAGTGTTAATACAATTTTTTCTGATCTTCTCCCTCAAAATTTTATGACGATATCTACAATTTTGTTGAGTAAATTGAATTCTAAACACGCAAAATAATACACATTCCAGCTATCGTCGATTTCTTTCTTCTTTTTAATCGTACGTATTGTGATGAATTTCCATTCGTTGTCAGATAGAGAGGCGGAGCTTAATTGCAAAATCCTTATTTGTCAACAAAAATTTTAAACATTTTTTAAATTTCTTGTAGTGAAAAGATGACTTCGTGTAAAAAAAGCCAAAATATATGTCCCACCCGCCCGCCCTATCTCAATTGTGATGAATTTTTTATTCGTCGTAAATCGAAGGCGGAGCTTAATTGCAAAATCCATATTTATTTACAAAAATTTACCATTTTAAACATGTTTTAAACACATTGTTGTTAAAAGATGATTACGTATAATAAGGAAAAAAACCAAAACATAAGCCCCGCCCACCCACCCAATCTCAATTGTGACGATTTTTTCATTCATCGTGAGCCAAGGAGGCGGTGTTTAATTCCAGAATCTTTATTTATCTGCAAAAAATTAAAACATGTTTTTGAGTATCGTCTTGTTAAAAAAATACTATGTATATTAAGAAAAAACAAAACCAAAGGTTAAGCCCCACCAAAACCCGCCCCGATTTCAATCGTGATGAATTTTTATTCGTGGTCAGATCGAGAGGTGGAGCTTAATTGCAAAAACCCATATTTCTGTATTTGTCTACAAAAATTTACCATTTTAAACATGTTTTAAGTTTATTGTTGTTAAAAGATGACTAGGTATAGTAAGGAAATAAACAAAATATAAGCCCCGCCCACCCACTTTGCACCCAACAATGTAAAATCTTCATGGTGCCTTTCAAAAACTGTATAATGCAAACTAGTGTATTGTTGGTTGCCTGATATTCCAACGGACAGCGATGTTACTCGATAGAGTGGATCTCACAGGATTACAGCATGTTTTCTTAAACTGGCGAATTTCCTCCTTTTTGGCAGCTAATGGATCTTCCAAATATGCTGCTTTACCCTCCAGTAGTCTCTTCTTCTTTGTTAATTTCAAAATAAGAGATTTAAACAGCATCATGTTATCTTTGTTGACCTCACAGCACTCATAACCGTCATTCTTTTCATCAAAAACAAAATCAAAACAATGATAAATCTTGTGATTATACCGTTTTACTTTCTTTTATAGATCCCAACAGGATTGAAAAACCCCGGCACTGGTCCCCTTATGGTTGTCACTACTACCCAGATCCTGAAGCGTTCCCGTCGCCACGACTGGATTCGTTACCTCAAGAACCGCTGAAACGAGGAGAACAATACTATCTGGATCTGGCAGGGAATATCTGCAAAGGTCCAGTGGGTGTGGGCTATACCTGCTACTGTGCCCCTCTTTTCCGACATCTGGAAGCACGCCTGGAAAGAGACAAACGGGAATTGCAGAGGGCACAAGTGCGACTAGGACAACGCGTTGCCGGCTTAGAGCAAAAGCTGAACAGAGGAGCTCATGGTAGAAGATCGGAAAGAGTAATGATGAATCCCCGAGAACAAGAATCGCAACTACCCAGGTCTCGTAGCTTGGAGATGTTGGATAAAATGGAAAGGGCGCCACTGCAGACCGCAAGGTAATCACCCTAACTTAAATTGAACAAAATCTAATACCTGTGTCTAGGAGCATGGACGAACTAGACCCCGTGGAAAGCGAAGATCCCAGCCAGCGTCCCACCGTCAAAGAACTAGTCGCCCGAATCCAACAACAACAATCCAGCGCCCAAAACAACACCGGTAACAACAGCGAGAGCAGCGACGACGAAGACAGTCCCATGCGAATGACCCAGTACAAAGGCCCCATGGCCGACTCCAACATGGCCAGCCCCATCACCATGCCCAACTACGAGAACGTGCCCAACGACGCGCCGCCTCGTAGCCGCAGCGGCGTCTACAGTCCCACCATCAACACGGCTCTAGTGGACTCCAACACCCGCTACATCGAACCCATCGTGAAGATCCAGGAGTCCAACATCCGGTACAACGACACCTATGCGAGATCGGTGCCTTCCACGAGTAGGGGAGTGGACCAAGACGTCAGATACGTGGACCAAAACTATAGGTTACCTTACTACGATAACGAGATGAACCCGGCGAAGTACTACGACCATAACCCGAAGTACGTGGACTTGAATTCGCGGTTCGCGAAGCTGCGGATGCTGGATGGGGGGAAGGGGGCGCTGGAAGGGAGCTCGCGGATGCTGGATTCGAGCAAGATGTTCGAGAGTACGACGAGGATGTTGGAGAACCCGCAGGATACGGCGGATAGGGACACTAATAATGATTCTGGGTATTCGACTAAGGTTTATGGGAGTTCGAAGGGGAATTCGCCGAGTTTGTCTGGACAGATTGATAATGAGTGTTTGGGTGCGTCGAGTCTTGTGTGAGTGAGGTTAGGTTAGGTCGAAGGAAGTAACACCAAATTTGTTCGTAATTCCATTTTTGTTTTAATGGTGCTCTTAGCGATGTAGACAATGACATGTACAAATGAGTAAGTTTTGTAAGTAGGTGTCGCTGAGGGTGTGTCGTCTAAATTTTCTACCGAAGTTGCTTTAATTATGGTGCCGTATTTTCTTATTTAATGATATTTTGAGAATACCTGATGTATTAAAATGTATTATAGGAAGTTATTTTGTTAACTTTGAGTTAAGATTATTGCATAAATAGTTTTCATTATAGACATCACTATTACATTCTTCATATTAAATTTTATAATTAGTTATAGATTGTTGAGAATATGTATATGTAGTAAATGATGAATAAAAGCGATATATTTTATTAATTATTATTTCTCTCGGGGACTACAATTTTCTAGGTTTCAAACCCAAATGGAACCCGTTTTCGGGAGACATATTAGCTTTCTTTGGACTGAGTCGTAGTGGTATTTCGGTCTTCTCTGTGGGTACCAAATCAAACTTTGACAACAAGTGGAAAAACAGTGTCTTGATTTCTAGAAGAGCAAACCTGGAACCTATTAACTCGTTTAGTACTACTTTATATTCTCTATTGAGTACGTACCGATGCAGTTTCTGGGACCTATACCAAACGGCATATAAGTACCAGGCACTATCTTCGCTTTATTTTCATCGTTGAACCTTTCAGGGTCAAACCGTTCAGGATTTGGATAGTACTCAGGATCCCGTTGTATCGCCATGATTGGTATTATAGTTATCATATATTTTTCAACTACGAGTGCTCTCTCATTTGGATTCTTCGGTTGTATGGTATAATTCCTATTACAGCATCTATCAGTCTGAAAAGCCGGGGGCCACAACCTTAGAGTTTCTGTAAAATCCACAAAATAAAAGTCACCAACACACAACTAAACTCACCAGAAACAACCTGATCGAGGTACTTCATGGAAAGCAGAGCTTCGTAAGGTACTTTTGCCCCATACTGTTGTCTAACGTCATCGATTTCCTCCTGAAGCTTCTTCTGCACATCAGGGTTCACTGCCAACTCGTGTGCCATCAAACTCGACGCATTAGAAACCGTTTCAAACCCCGCAAAGAAAAAGAGAAGAGCTTGAGCAACAATGTGTTCGTCTGTTAGTACCATCTGCTTGGTGTTTCTACCAATGTCAGACTCCTCCACAGTGGCAAAACCCTCTTTCACGTCATCAACAGTATGTTCATGCTTGAGCTTCCCTTTCTGTGCTTCCAGAAGCAGCTGGATCAAATCTGGTCTAACAATGTTGTCTTTAACCCGTTTGTCAATGTTGTTCATGATGAGGGACCGGAAGAAAGAAGCCACGTCTTGACGCAGCATCGTAATATTCAACATCTACAAACAAGTTTAAAATCCTGACTCACACGTTATGGTTGTTCTTACTTTTGCTAGTTTTGGCACAGTTTGGAACAGAAATATCTTCAAAACCTGCTTGGCGTCGAATTGGGTTATTTTATTGCCCATTACATAGAATTCGTGTTTTGGGTCCTCGACGCTGTTCACTTGTATCCCGAATGCTATGGTGGCAATAACGTCATTTGCAAATCGTGAAAACAGGTCTTTCATTTCGACGTCTACTAATTCTTTGTTTTTGAAGTGGTGGGTGAAGTTTTCGGCGCATTCTGCCATCAAATGGAACATGGTTCTCATTTTGCTGCTGGTGAAGGCGGGGCTTAGTGTGGCCCGCATTTGCTTCCATTGCTCACCCAGAAGGTTGATAAGGCTTTTGGATAGTAGAGGGTCGATGTCGTTGGTGGCAAAACTCATGTGGTCGTGGAAGTTGTCGAAGTCTTTGACACCGATTTGTTTGATGAGTTCCAAGTCGCGGACTAAAAGAGCAGGGGTTGTAAACTGGTGGTAGCCGATGTATCTACAAGAAGTGGATTTGGAAAAGAACTTCCCTATTTTTTCTTAATATACAACAAGAAACTTAAAACATGTTGGTAAATTTTTGTAACGAAATATGGATTTTGGAATTATGCCCCGCCTCTCATTCTAACAACGTTACTTTGAATAATACGATTACTACTTGTTTCCCAAGACAGTTTTTTTGCAGCAAAATGAGGATTTTGCAATTAAGCTCCACCCCCATTCCGGCTCACGACGAATAATAAAAAATCATGACGATTGAGACAGGTGGGTGGGCGGGGCTCACGTTTTACCTTTTTTCTTAATACATGTAATCTTCTGTTCACAAGAAGAAACTCAAAATGTGTTTAAAATGGTAGTTTGTTGTAGGGAAATATGGATGTTGCAATTATGCTCCGCCCCTCGGTCTAACAACGAATGAAAAATCACAGCTGAGATCGGGCCGGATGTAGGTGGAGCTTAATCTTTGGCTTTCGGTCTTACTTAGAACACATAGCTTTCTTTGACAACACTATTATTTTATAACATGTATTTGTTATAGAAAAGTAAAGATTTTGCAATGAAGCTTCGCTACCGGCTCACGACGAAAAAAAACATTACAATTGAGAAAGGGCGGGTGGGCGGGGTTTACTTTTAATCTTTTTTTTAATATTTAAAGTGTAAATTTTTGTAAGGAAATATGACAACGAATGAAGAATTTATCACAATTGAGACAAGAGGCAGCTTACGTGGGATTTAATCTTTGGGTTTCTTTTTTTCTTAATACGTATAGGGTAAATGTGTACAAGAGTACGCACTTAGTGGAAAACTGTCAACAACTTTTTAATTTTTTTGGATAGACAAATTTTATGATATAGGTTCGTTATATACATGTTTAGAGATCAGATATATTTAATTGTACGTCCCAACACCACTATATTTTAAGAGTAATTTCAATTTTTGTCAAGATGTGTAAATGCGCGCTCTTAGACAGTTCATTGCACAAGAGTGCGCATTTCAACGCTCATGAGTACGCATTACATTTTATGAAAAAATATTTGTTTCTAAGGTGAAAATAAATGGGAATAAGTGACTACAGACTACACATAAAACGGGGGACCTATTTCTTCGTACTCTAGGGGTCTTGAAAAGACGAGAAAACGTAAAAATAAAGAGTCGGTCGACGGACTCGATTACAACACGCTCAGGAAGTAAAAATAAAAAAAAAATCACCATAACCACCACCACACAACTTGAGAAGCAGTACAAAGTAGTAGAGTTAAATAATGCAGTATCGTATGATATGTATCTCCAAGACTATTAGACTACGTATTGCAAGCAATGCGCACTCTTATACAATGCCTCGCTGCGCACTCTTGTACATTTGTACATAACCTAATGTTTTCAAAGTTAAAAGCTTTTGATTGACAGAAAGTGTAAAACTGTTAGTGTATAACGACACCTTAAAAGTTACAACTAATGACAATTATTACTGTAAAATAAAAGAACTGGTACGTACCTTACAAAAAACTAAAACTATGAGCGGTAAAAATTACATCCACACAACGTGTGAACATAAAATCGTCAGTACGACCAAACTTTTGCACCTTTATCTCAGGTTTAGCATTAAATTCTGAATGGTATAACTTCATCTTACCCAGATGGCACTAATAAGCAGAAATCATCAGTGCGTACTCTTATACATATTCGCACTCTTGTACACATTTACCCTACTTAGTTCTCTTTGAACAACCCGATTACTTAAGAATATGTTACAGATGGAAATTTCTTGTAGAAAAATAAGGAAATATGGAATCCGTAATTACGCTCCTCCCCCAATCTGACAACAAATGAAAAATTCATCATAATTGGGATCGGGGTGGGTATAGGTGGGACTTAATCTTTGACTTTCTTTTTTACTTAATACACAAATTACATATCATTTAAGAAAATTAGGGGCAGATGCGTCGGGTTGATACCTGTTAAGACTGATTTTGGCATATGACATACTTTAAAAAAAATAGAGGGCGGGTGGGTGGAGCTAATAATACCTGTTAAAATAGGACTGATTTTGGGAAATGATATACTCCCTAAGATCAAAGTGAAAAGCAAGATGTTAATAAATTCTCTTCTAGTGGAAAGATGATTACGTATAATAAAAAAAGGGCAAAATATAAGCTCCACCCACCGGCCCTACCTCAACTGTGATGAATTTTTTTATTCGTCGTAAACTGCGGAGTTTCATTGCAAAATCATATTTGTCTACAAAAAATTACCATTTCAAACATTTCTAAATTTCTTGTTGTGAAAAGATGTTTACGTATAATAAAAAAAAGGCAAAATATAAGCCCCGCCCACCCGCCCTATCTCAATTGTGATGAATTATTTTATTCGTCGTAAACCGGGGGCGGAGCTTAATTGCAAAATCGATATTTGTCTATAAAAATTTACCATTGCAAACATTTTTAAGTTTCTTGCTCTGAAAAGATGATTACGTATAACAAAAAATGCAAAATATAAGCCCCGCCCACCCACCCGGTCTCAATTGTGATGAATATTTTTATTCGTCGTAAACCGGGGGCGGAGCTTAATGGCAAAATCCATAATTGTCTACAAAAAATTACCATTTCAAACATTTTTAAATCTCTTGTCGTGAAAAGAAGATTACGTATAATAAATAGAGGCAAAATATAAGCCCCGCCCACCCGCCCTATCTCAATTGTGATGAATTTTTTTTATTCGTTGTGAACCAGGGGCGGAACTTAATTGCAAAATCCATATTTGTTTACAAAAATTTACCATTTCGACCATTTTTAAGTTACTTGTCGTGAAGTGACGATTACGTATAATAAAAAAAGGCAAATATAAGCCCCGCCCACCCGCCCTATCTCAATTATAATGAATTTTTTTATTCATTGTAAAGCGGGGGCGGAGCTTAATTTCAAAATCCATATTTGTTTACAAAATGGACTATTTCGAACATTTTTAAGTTTCTTGTTTTGAAAAGATGATTACGTATCTTACAATAAGGCAAAATATAAGCCCCGCCCACCCACCCGGTCTCAATTGTGGTGATTTTTTTTATTCGTCGTAAACCGGGGGCGGAGCTTAATTACAAAATCTATATTTGTTTGCAAAAATTTACCATTTCGAACATTTTTAAGTCTCTTGTTGTGAAAAGGTGATTACGTATAATTAAAAAAGGCAAAATATAAGCCCCGCCCACCCGCCCTGTCTCAATTGTGATGACTTTTTTATTCGTCGTAAACTGAGAGCGGAGTTTAATTGCAAAATTCATATTTGTTTACAGAAATTTACCATTTTAAAAATGTTCTAAGTTTCTTGTTAAAAGATGACTACGTAACGTGTGATCAAATAGATTTTAGATTAGGGTAGGCTATGAAAATATTTTTCATGTCTTTGATTAAACCTTTCTTTATGTCAAATTAAATTCTTCACATATGGAATTCGTAATTACGCTCCTCCGGTTTACGACGAATAAAAAAAATCATCAGAACTGAGTTCGGGTGCGCGGGTAGGGCTCACTTTTAATCTGTTTTTTTTTCTTAATATACGTAATATACGTAGTCTTCTTTTCACAACAAAAAATTGAAAACATTTTTGAATTCGTCAATTTTTGTAGGAAACTGGAGTTTGCCTTTACGCTCCGCCCCTCGGTCTGACAACGAATGAAGAATTTATCAGAACTGAGATAAGGGGCGGATATAGGCGGGACTTAATCTTTGAGTTTTTTTTTATTTAATACATATAAGCACTTAGTTCTTAACTTCTTATGAACAACACGATTACGTAAGAACATGTTTCATATGGCCATTTCTTGTAGAAAAACATGAATTTTGGAGTTAAGCTCCGCCCCTACGGGCTCACGACGAAGAAAAAAATCATCACAATTGAGTTAGGGTGGGTGGGTGGGGCTCACATTTTACCTTCTCTTGCTTAATATGCGTAATGTTCAATTGACAACAAGAAAGTTAGAACATGTTTAAAATGCAGGGCAATACGGATTTTGCAATTATGCTCCGCCCCTGGGCTGACAACCAATGAAAAATTCATCGCAGCTCAGATTGGGGCGGGCATAGGTGTGGCTAATCTTGTTTGCAGGATTTCTTTTCTACTTAATACACATAATGTATTACACGATTACGTAAGAACACGTTTTATATGTCAATCTCTTGTAGAAAAATACGGATTTTGAGGTGTTCTATTTACCTGTGGTTGGGGAATTTGTTGTATAAGGCAGTGGTTACTCCCGAAAAGTGTTGCTTTCTTAGAACAAATGGTGCCATGTTTCCTATAATGGGCCATGACGGTTCGTGGGTGACACCCCGTTCTTCCCAAAAGCTGGTGGGTTTGATCAGACTGTAGTAAATTAGGGCACCCAAAATGATGCCCAATATAATTTCCAACATCGTAAAGCCGGTGGAATGGTGTCCAGGTACTCATACACTGAATTCTTACATTTTAATGCGGTAAACACTTATCGACAACATTATCAGCTATCGATAGATATTATTGTCACGTGTGGATAGTTGCACCATATTGGGTAAGTGTTGACTCTTCACTAGTTTTGTGTGGTCTGTATCAAAATTTTTGTTTTATCGTGAGATAGCGGTACTAGTTCGTTTTGACCAAATGAGTCATCAGGAAAAAAAAAGTGTTGTATTTGTGGTTTTATGTAATATTTTATTTATATAACTGGAAACATCAAATAAGTATGTATACATACGGAGAAACTTGTATTTATTAAAGTACTATGCCTATATGAGTACTATTTTATGATGTTAGAAATGGTTAGGTGTAATTAAAGGTGGCCGTACATGTTTACAGTGGTATAATAACTATCAAATTTTTTATTAAAGCTGCACAAATTTTCTTGGCTTCAAACCCAAATGGAACCCAGTTTCAGGAGCCATGGTGGCCTTCTTTGGACTGAGTCGTAGTGGTATTTCAGTTTTCTCTGTGGGTACCAAATCGAACTTCGACAATAAGTGAAAAAATAGTGTCTTCACTTCAAGAAGAGCAAACCTAGAACCTGTAAAATCGTTAAGTACTGGTTTATATTGTCACACAATGTCGTACCGATGCAATTTCTGGGACCTATACCAAACGGCATATAAGTACCAGGCACAATTTTTGGTTTATATTCGTCATTGAACCTTTCTGGATCAAACCGTTCAGGCTCTGGATAGTACTGAGGATCCCGATGTATTGCCAAGATTGGTATTACAGTCATCATGTATTTTTCAACTATAAGTGTGTCCTCATTTGGATTTTTTGCTTGTATGGTATAATCCCTATTGCAGCACCTATCGGTTTGGAAGGCAGGGGGCCACAACCTTAGAGTTTCTACAAAACCACCAAACATAAAAATAAAATTCCTTTCTCAAAAGTACACCCACCTGACACAACTTGGTCTAGGTACTTCATCGAAAGTAGAGCTTCGTAAGGTACTTTCCCTCCGTGTTTTTGTCTAGCGTCATCAATTTCCTCCTGAAGCTTCTTCTGCACGTCGGGATTCACGGCCAACTCGTGCGCCATGAAACTCGACACGTTCGAAACCGTTTCAAACCCCGCAAAGAAAAAGAGAAGAGCTTGGGCAACAATGTGGTCGTCTGTTAGTTCCATGCGTTGGGTGTTTTTACCAATGTGGGACTCCTCCACGGTTGCAAAACCCTCCTTCACTCCTACAACATCACTGTCATGCTTCAGCTTCCCTTTCTGCGCTTCCATAAGCAAGTGGATCATATCCGGTCTAAAAATTTTCTCTTTAACCCGTTTGTCAATGTTGGTCATGATGATAGACCGGAAAAAGCTGGTGGCGTCTTGACGCATTAACTTAATATTCAACATCTGCAAACACAACGTAAACCGTTTATTCACACCTTGTAGTAGTACTTACTTTTGCGACTCGCGGTACCATTTGGAACAAAAACACCTTCAACGACTGCAGTCCCCCGAATTTGGTGATCTGTTTCGCCATTTCGTAGAACTCGTGTTTGGGGTCTTGGACGCTGTTCACTTGAATCCCGAACGCCGTAGTGGCAATAACGTCGTTCGTGAATCTCGAAAACAGGTCTTTCATTTCAACGGCCACTTGTTCTTTGTTTTTGAAGTGGTGGGTGAAGTTTTCGGCGCATTCTGTCATCAACTGGTACATGTTTTTCATTTTGCTGCTGGTGAAGGCGGGACTTAGTGTGGCCCGCATTTGCTTCCATTCGTCCCCTACTAGACTAAGGAGACTTTTGGATGTCAGTGGATCGGGTTGTTTGGTGGCGAAAGTCAAGTGGTCGTGGAAGTTGTCGAAGTCTTTGACGCCGATTTGTTTGATCAGGTCTAAGTCTCTGATTAGGAGGACTGGGGTACCGAACTGGAGGTAGCCGACGTATCTACGCAAAATAAGTTATTAGAAACAACTCAGTTTCGAGTTTTTATAAAATTGAAGTGTCTCTGGAGCCAGTAATTTGGGACCTAATTAGGTACTAGTAGTTTTATTTACCTATGGTTGGGAAATTTGTTGTACAAGTCGGTGGTTATCTGCGAAAAATGCTTCTTCTTCATAAGGAATGCCCCCGTGTTTCCTATAATGGGCCATGCTGGTTCGTGAACGACGCCTCTTTCTTTCCAGAAGGTGGTGGGTTTGTGTACTCTGTAGTAAATCAAAGCACCCAAAATGATGCCCAGAATAATTACCAACATTGTAGAACGTAGTTCACGTAAGCACTGATTTTCTACATTTTAATGCACCAAACACTATCTGGTATTTAGTTTATCACCTAATCGAATAGATATTATTGTCCGGAGTAGATAGTTGCACCACATTAGGCAAGTGTGGATATTTCACTATTTTTATGTTTTGTTTATGGTTGAACAGTATTTTATCACGAGATAGCAGCGCTAATCTATCTTTACCAAGTGTTATGTAATGTTTTAGTTCCATAAATAGAACAATAAATGTATTTTAAAATTTCGTATCAACACTGTTTTATTTTTGAGGTTAGGAATAGTGCGGTGTGAGTGAAGGTTTTAGATGTTTACACCGAGATAATCAATATTAAACTAACATAGCGAGGACAAGGTTGTTATGTACGAGGATCGTTCAAATATAAATGCAACTTTAGTTACAAGGGATGTCTGTTAAATCAGGGAATTCAAAATTTGTTTACTTTAATGTTTTGTTACAAAGTTTATTTTCACATTAAATCACTATCTAACAAGCATGCAGAATCGGTTGTGCATTAGAGATGAGGGGAATTTTACCTAATGAAATTCCGAAAAACAGACAGAGAGACGGAAATTTATAAAAATGCTACCGTAATTTTTCTATTAGCTAGTCTACAAGCAAAATTTAAATATAATCGTGGAAGTTTATTATTACTCCTAATAATTATAATTTTAAAAAATCTTCACTTTTTCATTTACTTGATTTTTCACTTTTTCGATTTTTAATTTTTCACTTTCTCGATATTTCGATTTTAGAAATTTTTGATTCTTCCAATATTGGATTGTAAATTTTTTTCATTTGTTCGTTTTTTCACTTTTTCGTTTTTTAATTTTTGACTTTCTCGATATTTCGAGTTTACAATTTTTGGTTTTTCCAATTTCTCGAGTCGATTCATTAATTTTTCGATTTTTTAAGTCTCTCGATTTTGAGTTTTGCCGTGTTTCAATTTTTCGTTTTTTCAGTTTTGTTCCATCCTTAAATTTTTCTTTGATTTTTCAATTTTTCAACATTTTAGTTTTGAGATTTTTCAATATTTTGATTCTTCAATTTTTCAATTTTTCGATTTTACGATTTTTCGATTTCCCGATTTTTTACTTATCCGATTTCTAAAATTTTAGATTTTTCAAATTTTCAATTTTTCATTAATGTTCCGATTCTCAATTTTTCGATTATTCGACTCGATTTTAGATTTTCCGGTTTTCCAGTTTTTCGATTTTAAAAATTTTTGATTTTTTCACGTTTCTAAATTTTCGATTTTTCAATTTCTGGATTTCTGGATTTTTTGAATTTTCGACTTTTTGATTTCTGGACTTCTCGAGTTCTCGATTTTTCAAGTTTTCAATTTCTTAATTTTTGTTCGGTGTTCAATTTTTCGAAATTTCAAAGTTTTGGGATTTTTTACATTTCTGTTCTTCAGTTTTTTGATTTTTCGATTTATCGGTTTTTGACTTTTTCGATTTTTAAATATTAGATTTTTTATTTTGGATATTTTAATTTTTCATGTCTTTAATTTTTCGGTTTCCAATTTTTCATTTCGGATTTTTATTTCCTTTTTTTTCAGTTTGTCTGTTTTTTGGTGTTCTGATTTTATAATTATTTTTTTTCCATGTAACAATTTTCATTTTTTGGAGTTTTCAGTTTGAAATTTTTTAATTTTCCGTTTTTTCAATTTAAAATTTTTCAGTTTCTCGATTTTTCAGTTTTTCATTTGTAAAATTTATGATTTGCAACTTTTCTAGTTTTCATTTTAAATATATAATAATACTTATAATTTAAAAAATTCTTCACTTCTTCAATTTTACGAATTTAGAATTTTTTGATTATCAATTATTGGATTGTAAAAGTTTTTTATTTATTCGATTTTTCACTTTTTCGATTTTTAATTTTTCACTTTCTCGATATTTCGATTTTACAATTTTTGGTTTTCCCAATTTTTCGAGTCGATTAATTAAATTTTTCGAATTTTAAGTTTCCCGATTTTGAGTTTTTCAGAGTTTCAATTTTTCATTTTTTCATTTTTTTTCATCCTTAATTTTTTTTTCATTTTAAAATTTTTTGGTTTATTAATTTTGACACTTCGATACTTCGTTTCAATTTTTCGATTTTTTAAGTTTTAGATTTTTCAATTTTTCAATGTCTTTTTTGATGTTTTGATGCTCGACTTTTCGATTTTTGGACTTCTCGGTTTAAAAATTTTCCCTTTTTCGATTTAAAAATTTTTGATTTTTAATTTTTCAATTTTTGACGTTACTAAATTTTAGATTTTTCAATTTCTCAATTTCTGGAATAAATGATTTTTTGGTTTTTCGACTTTTTGATTTCTGGATTCTCGAGTTCTCGATTTTTCAATTTTAGGATTTCTCAATTTTAGTTCGATTATGTATATGTATTTCTATTCTTCAGTTTTTCGATTTTCCGATTTCTCGGTTTTTTACTTTTTCGATTTTTAAAAATTAGATTTTTCAATTTTTCAATTTTTTGATATTTCGTTTTCTCCATTGTTTAATTCTCGATTATCCCATGTTGGATATTTTAATTTTTCATTTCATTTGCAATTTTTCGTTTCGAATTTTTACCTTTTTTTTCAGTTTGTCGGTTTTTCAATTTCAAATTTTGTAATTTCTCGTTTTTTGAATTGCAAATTTCTAGTTTTCATTTTTACGATTTTAGAATTTTTTGGTTCTTCAATTATTGAATTGTAAAAGTTTTCTTTCATTCGATTGTTCACCTTTTCGATTTTTAATTTTTCACTTTCTCGATATTTCGATTTTACAATTTTTGGTTTTTCCAATTTTTCGATACGATTCATTAATTTTTTTCGACTTTTTGAGTTCCTTGATTTTTAGTTTTTCAGGTTTTCAATTTTTCGCTTTTTCAGTTTTGTTCCATCCTTAAAGTTTTCTTTGATTTTTCGATTTCTCGATATTTTACTAATCGGATTTTTTAATTTTAGATTTTTCAATTTTTTTCAGTTTTTTTTTGATGTTTAGATTCTCGATTTTTGACTTCTCGGTTTTAGATTTTTCGGTTTTTCAGTCTTTCGATTTTAAAAATTTTTGATTTTTTCATTTTTCATTTTTTTTCAGTTTTGGGATTTTTTATATTTCTAATCTTCAATTTTTCAATTTTTCGATTTCCCGATTTTTTACTGTTTCGATTTTGTATATTTTAATTTTTCATATCTTTTTTATTTACTTTATTTTTTCCAGACAGTCGGTTTTTCAATGTTCTGATTTTATAATTATTCTTTTTTCCAATGTGAAATTTTTCAATTTTTGGATTTTTTAATTTTTCATTTTTTTCAATTTAAAATTTTTCAGTTTCTCAATTTTTCAGTTTTTCGTTTGCAATTTATTTAATTATTGTTTAATAATTTATTTTGCCATTTCAGTCAGCAAAAAAGTATGATTGTGCTACATCAAAGAATTCAGAAAAGAAAGCTCTATTCAAAAATGCATTAATTATATGGTAGTGCCATTTAAAAAAAATCAAGTTGGCCTTGCATCTCGAAAACAAATGAAGTAAAAATTTTTTTTTCTTGACTAATCATTAGAGCACAACTTCTTGTACCCCTATACCTAATTTCAGTTGATTGGTACAACTGGATTTCAAGATATTTAACCGTTTCCATATATTCCAGCGACCCTGTATATACATATTAACAAGCTGTAAACATTATGAATGATTAAGCAAGTCATCATTAAATGTCGATTCATTCGAATTTAGCAAATCATCGTTGATAACATTTTACATAGTCTTCTTATATGTGGTATATTTCATTATTATTAATAATATAATAGTGACAGTTTTGATTTCCATTTTGCATAATAAAGTGTATAGAAAAAGTGGTAAAAATGTGAGCTTTAAAAAAACAAAAATTAATTTTAAAATCTGAGTTGTTAAAGTGGTACTTCCCTATTAAATAAGTGAGTAGAAAAATTTAACAACTATGTAAAAATTGGCAAAAATTGTATTGTGTGTAAACTTGGAGTAAATTATACAGGGTGCGGAAAAAATGGGCCACAAACTCAACGGTACATTATTAAGTTCACAAGTCTAAGTTCGGGAAAAATCAATAAACAATTTCTTATGTCAATTTGACGTTCACTTACAGAAATAAAATATCGATTTAGGTCAATAAATCAAAAAACTCTAAAAATTAGCCACACTTGTCCAATTCAAACAATTGTTAAGATTTTGTTATATTATAAAATGAAAAAAAAAAAAAAACTGTTGATGGAAACAAGATTTCTCCAAAATTATTTTAAATAATGGAAGTCTAATTGATTTAATGTATCCAACAGTAAGTGGTGAATTAGAATATGGTGAAATATTGAAAATAAATAAAATTTTCTATATTTGGGTCCAAGAATTTTTAAAATTATTTTTTCTCTGTTCTATAAACAGTCCTCAACAACGTGGCGTAGTCACTCATTTTTTCAGCACCCTGTATAAACATTTGGGAATAAAAATTACAACGAATAGATCCTCAAACTTTAATTAACTTGAATGTTACAGGTAAAGAAGCATTGTATGCATATGTTTCTAGTGAGTTTTTCCATCTAAAAATTTTGACATCATCAACATTTCAGCAAGGACATGTATATCAATTTCAGTAGGTGGAGTACAATACTAATAATAACAGTATTATATCCTCAAAATTTCAGGAAATAGTATGGTCAATAAAACAAAAAAATATGAATGCAATGATAGACTACATATATAGACGTTTGATACTGTGCAGATTTTAGATTTATTCGGTGAAATTTTGAGATGACGTCATCACTTTTTAAAGGGGTCGTAAATGGATAAATTGTAATTAAAGATTTATCATGTTTCAGAGATCCGTAAAACGTTTGCAAAGTTGTAGAGCAAACGGTTTTGCAATTTCAAAGTTAAATTGTAAAATCTTGTTATACAATTTTATTTTTTTTTTACAAAAATCTGGATGCGTACGGTAAATACTCAACACAGATACATAAACTACAAGTGAGTGAGTTTGTAGTAGTATATATAGTAAAGACAAAATTTGATAGTAACAAACGCGGACAGACGGTAGACGATAGACAGACAGACAGACAGACGGAAAAGAGAGACCGATTATGTTTTCGTATTTTAGAAACCATGAAATGTTGAGGAAACACAAAACTGGCCATTCGCCAGTTGGACTCGATTACAATACTTTCTTAGTTTCGGCTCGGGAAGTAAAAAGACAGACAAATTAATTATCTAGTAAAGTGGAAAGTGAAATAGAGAACAGGACAAATGAGCTATGTTTTGACCAGAAATTATATTTTTGAATTTAATTGCAATTTTTTTGAAAGTTCAAAAATTGTTAAGGACTAATAGTTTTTTCCTTGAATTCAGGCATCCAATCATAAACAAAAACTTTTTATTACGTCATTTGAGATAAATCTCGAGCAGTATAAAACAGTGATCGGGAGGTCACAACAATTATTACCAGTCCGAATAGTGAGGACAAACAAAGTCAGTGATTCTGATTAGAGGTAGGTCATGTAATTTCAATCACAAGTGGGGGCCCCCGCAATAATTTTAATGAATCCGTCCTTCAACTTGTGTTTTTAGTGATATTAGATCAGCACGATGTGGTGGATATTGGCGGCTGTAGCAGCCGTTGCTTCGGCTTACTGGTTCCTTATCCGTCCCCATAAGTATTGGATAAAAAAAGGGGTTAAGCAAGGAAGTCCTACGTTTATTTTTGGGGATAGTTGGGCACAAACGATGCAAAAACAGTCATTTTCCGAAATGATTGAGATGATTTACAACATGTGTCCAAACACCAGGTGAGAAAAAATTAACGAGTATGTAACTAAGTATATTCTTGTTTATTATGATTTTAGGTACTCAGGCTTTTACCAATTCCTCCAACCAACGCTTCTTTTGAAAGATCCCGAACTTATTAAACAGATTACCGTCAAAGACTTTGACCACTTCGTCGACCATCAACGCTTTATTCCAGAAGACAGTGACCCTCTATGGAGCAACAATCTGTTCGCTTTGAATGGCAAAAGATGGCGCGAAATGCGAGCCACCCTCAGTCCAGCTTTCACCAGCAGCAAAATGAAGTACATGTTCTCTTTAATTTCACAAAGCGGCGAACAATTCGTCAATTACTTTTTGAAAAAGAACGAAGATGTCATTACCGTTGAAATGAAAGACATTTTCACAAGATTCGCCAATGACGTCATCGCCAATACCGCTTTTGGTGTAGAATGCGACTCTTTAGTTGACCGACAAAACGAGTTTTATGTAATGGGAAAAGAAGCTACAGATTTCAGCAGCTTCTGGAAAAATTTAAAATTCATTCTATACTTTTTAACACCTACGCTTTCGGATGTAAGTATTCTAAAAACATTGCTATTTGAAACTATTTAATTATTTTTTAGTTGTTCAAAGTGAGATTCTTTTCCGAAGAAGTCAACCAGTTTTTCACCAGTTTAGTCAAAACTAATATCCAAAGTCGCGAAAAACACGGAGTGGTAAGACCCGACATGATCCATCTCCTCCTCGAAGCTCGAAAAAACGGGCTCAAACACGAAGACTCTCCCTCGATTCAAGATACAGGTTTTGCTACAGTTGAAGAACATGAGTTTACCAAAAATGCCAAGAAAATCGAGCGCGAAATAACTGATCAAGACATCGCCTCCCAAGCGTTGATTTTCTTCTTCGCGGGTTTTGACACGGTTTCTTCTTTAATGAGTCTGATGTCGTACGAGCTTGCTGTAAATCCAGATGTTCAAGACAAACTCGTGCAAGAAGTCGATGACACTTTAGAAACCTGTGGGGGTAAAATCAGTTATGAGGGTCTGCTTGGTATGAAATACCTGGACATGGTTGTATCCGAATCTTTAAGGAAGTGGCCCAACGCTGTTTCGACTGACAGACTCTGCACTAAACCCTACACCATTGAACCTAAAAATCCAGATGAACAACCTCTGCATTTAGAAAAGGGTACTAATATTTGGATACCAACTTTTGCCATTCACCGGGATCCTGAATATTACCCAGAACCTGGGCGTTTTGATCCCGAAAGATTTAGCGACGAAAACAAGGCTAACATTAAACCCTACACGTATTTGCCTTTTGGTACCGGACCCAGGAATTGTATTGGGTCTAGGTTTGCCCTATTAGAGACAAAAATTTTGTTCTTTTATATTTTATCACATTTCCGGATAGTTCCTGTGCAAAAGACCCCGATTCCTTTGGTTTTATGCAAAAAGCAGTTTAATTTGAACGCAGAAAAGGGCTTCTGGTTAGGACTTAAACGTCGTTGTAAAATCTAAGTTCATGGTTCAGCTAAATTTGAAGTTGTGACAATGCGTCAATGCGTTGCCTAGATGGTGCTAACTTTGGGTCTCAACATATACTTACCAATTTTAAGTTATTTAGATGATCTGTCAAAAATGTATGTACTTTTTAATAAATAATCTTAAATCATGTCTTTTTCTCTTTCCTCCGTTCTTATACCAATCGCAAAACGAAACCAGCTCAAGAAAAACTAATTTCGACAATATTCTATAACCCCTGGAATTCTTTCAACTTATTTCCTTAAATTTACGTATCTAATTATAAAGTGCTAGGACCGCCAACTCCCCCCCCCCCCTTCTCATTTTTTTATTTTATTTATGGTCAGTATAAGATCATTCATTTCATTCAGGTCGGATAAAATCAATCACTGAAAAAGAAACAGGGTGGATGGGCGGGGCTAATTATATTCTTCTGTGGAGTGTGAGTGGAAACTAATAGAATCTACGATGTGAAAAAAGTAAAAAAACACTAGTCGTAACTTTTTTTTTATTATACTCGTACTAGTTGCTATAAGATTTATTTCTTATTTCAGAAAAAAAAAAATGAGAGAACGGGTGGGTGGGCGGGGCCAAGTTTAAATTTTCCACAAAATAATGGTAAAATTGAAGAAAAGAAAAACTTAAAAACCAAAAATTCAGAAGTAGAAAAATCGAAAAATTGAAAACTGACAACTAAAAAAATTTTAGATTAGAAATTGAAAAAATTCAGACATAAAACTGAAAAATCAGGAACAAAAAAATGAAAAAATTGATATACATATTTGAAAAAATCGAAGAATTCAAAGATTAAAAAACCTAATAACGGAAGTGTGGCAAAATAAAAAATCGAAAAAGTGAAAGTTATAAAAATGTTGATAAATCGAAAACTGAAGAAAAAAATTCAAAAATTAAAAACTCGAAAAATTGAAAAAACAAAAAAGGTCTCTTATCTTAGCAAGTACTACTACTACTTCTTATTAAAATGTAATAATGAGAGTTTTGATTATATATGTATGTATATGAATGTATAAAAAAGTGATTAAAAATGTCAGGTCTAAGAAAACAAAAATAGATTATAAAAACTGAGTTGTTTCGTATTAAATATATAAATTAGCACTCCAGGCCATTCCTTCCTGTTCTTAAGTTTCTTCCTCCAGTTTGCAATATTCGCCTCTGCTATGTCCTTTAGTACATCTTCTTTCCACCGTGTTCTTGGTCGTCCTTGTCGACGTTTCCCTCCTATACCACTTTCCAAAATTTTCTTGGGTACTCTTTCTTCCTTCATTCTCATAACGTGTCCGAACCATCTTAATCGTTGTCTTTTTACAATTGCCACTATGTATACATTTTTTTGACAATTTTCCTTTGATTCTTACTCTATTGTCCGTGTCTTTTAAGGTGAGTTTTATCATCTTTATTAGCTTGTTTTTCATACCTAGTTCTCTTAAAGCTTCATATAACTTTTGGCGCTTGATTCTATCATATGCTTGTTTGAAATCTACGAATAACACAAAAGTGTTTTTTTTATACTCAAAACTTTCTGCTTGTAGCTCACGTAGTGTAAATATCTGGTCCACCTGTTCGCCCTGAAGCCACCTTGGTACTCTCCAATTTCCTTCTCTACTTTTTTTATTACTTGGTCTTTTATATACGACGGAAGAATTTTATAGACTACATTCAAAAGTGCTATTCCTCTATAGTTGGAGCATTTCATCTTATCCCCCTTTTTATGTACTGGAATGAGAATAGCTTCGTTCCAATCTTGTGGCATTTGTTCTTGCAGCCAAATTTGTTCTAAAAGTTTCTGTATCTTTTCTTCTAGCTTTTCTCCCCCGTATTTTAGTAATTCCGCCGTTATTTGATCTTCTCCCGGACTTTTGTTATTTTTTAATTTCTTCATTATTTCCTTTACTTCTCTTAGACTTGGTGCTTTCTCTTCTTCTTCACCATGTATATCTTCTTTGTTTAAATTTTCTTCTATCATTCCTCCATTTTCTTCCCCACTTAGGAGTTCGTCGAAGTACCTCTGCCAGAGTTCTAAAATTTTGTCTTCATTTCCTACCAGTTCACCTTTTTCGTTTTTATAGAACACCGAACTTGATTGGTATCCTTTTTTTTCTTGTTTCAATACCCGGTACATACTTCTTATCTCTTTATTTTTGTAGTTTTCTTTTATCTCGTCTAATAGTCTTTCTTTATATTTTCTTTTCTTTTCGCATAAGAGCCTTTTACATACTTTTCGCTGTTCTTTGTATGCCATTAAATTTTCTTCTGTTTCATTTTTTAATACTTTCAATCTTAAAGTTGTCCTTTTTTCTAATTCTTCTTCACATTCCTTATCAAACCATCTTTCGTTTTTATTTTCCTTCCCTGTTTCTTGAGTGCTTTGTGATGACGCTTTTTTTATTCCATTTTTAACATTCAACCATAAATCTTCTATATCTTCTGTATCTTGCCTTTCACTTGTTACCCAATCATTCACCATTTCCAAATACATCTTCCTCTCCTCCTCATTTTTCAATCTAATACACGTTTTTAAGTTTTTGCGTTCTTGGTTCTTCCTGTTTTTTGCAACTGGTACTATTTGCTTCATTTTTACACCTACTAAGAAATGGTCTGTGTCCAGATCTGGTCCTCTATAACTTCTTACATCGGTTATACTTCTTTCTTCCATTCTTTCAATTAGGACATGGTCAATTTGATTTACAGTTTTTCCATCTGGTGCAATTGCCAAATCGAAATTCAATTCCTACTTTGTAGAAATAAAATAGATTAGCAAAATGGAGGAAGGAAGGGGCAGAGCTAAGTTTACGTCTTTTCTGCTGTCGTATGAACAACCAATAGCCCCACCCACCCACCCTCTCTTTATTCTGGTGAATAATCTTAATATTGTTAATTAATTACAAGATTATTATCTTATTAGAATTCTACTAAAATCTGCTAAATCGTTGGTGACAAAATTGATAAATTGTAAGTAAAATATCTAAAAACAATTGAGTTTGTGTTAAATAAGCATACCAGACGTGAGAACTATATTAAAACACGATATTATTAATGCTCCTCCCACTCGCACAAGCTCCACCTTAATAAATCATTTCATTGGTCCGGAGAAGAGGAGTGGCGTTTACAATTGTAGGTATCTAACGGTGTTTACTTCACATGATTTTTAAATATTTCTGTCTAAATGTTGACGGTTAAGTCGTTTTTCGAAAAAAATAAAAATTTTATTAAAAAATATTTAGTACTAGCGTGTATTAATTGTCAAAATAAAATCCGTCTTCCGAGTAAGAGCCAATAAAAAGGTCCTCAAAATGAAGTAGGGGTGGGCCGGTGGGGCCACTTTTGGCTTTGAGTTAATCTTACATTCTGTCGCTTGTCAAATTAAAATTCAATTCCAAGTTGTTTTATAGAAATAAAATCGGCTAGTAAAGTGGAGGATGAAGGGGGCGGAGCTAAGTTTAGGTTTTTTCTGCAGTCTTATGAGCAACCAATAGCCCCACCCACCCACCCTCTCTTTATTCTGATGAATAATCTTAATATTGTTAATTAATAACAAGATTATTATCTTATTAGAATTCTACTCAAATCCGTTAAATCGTTGGTGAGAAGATTGATAAATTGTAAACAAAATATCTAAAAAGAATTGAGTTGATGTTAAATAAGCATACCAAACGTGAGAAGTTTATTGAAACACAATATTACTAATGCTCCTCCCACTCGCACAAGCTCCACCTTAATAATCATTTCATTGGCTCGGAGAAGAGGACTGGCGTTTACAGATGTACCCAGTCGTGTCTACTTCATATGATTTTGAAATAATTATGTCTAAACGCTGACGGCAAAGTCGTTTTTCGAATAAAAATAAAATTTTATTAAAACATATTTAATCTTAGCGTGTATTAATTGTCAAAATAAAATCCAACTTCCGAGTGAGAGCCAGTAAAATGGGTCATCAAAATGGAGTAGGGGTGGGTGGGTGGGGAAACTTTTTACTTTCAAATGAATCTTACATTCTGCTGCTCGTCAAATCAAAATTCAATTCCTACTTTATAGAAATAATATAGGTTAGCAAAATGGAGGAAAGAGATGGGCGGAGCTAAGTTTAGGTTTTCTGTGCAGCCTTATGAGCAAGCAATAGGCCCGCCCACCCACCCTCTCTTGATAGTAATGATGACTCTTAATATTGTTAATTAATGACAACATTATTAACTTATGAGAATCCTACTCAAATTTGTTAAATCGTTGGTGAGAAGATTAATAAATTGTAAACAAAATATCTGAAAAGAATTGACAAACAACTCACTCAGTTCAATTTTCTAAAACTTTATCATTTTCAGAGTGATTGAGTTCTACTGCGATTTTTTTTGAAGTTCAAAAATTGTTAAGGACTAATTTTTTAATGAAGCAAGAAGACAGGAAATAATCATTTGAAAAGAATATTAGTCGTTTGAAAATAAAATATTCTATTTCATTCGGAGTTTAAGTGACTTTATATGACTCGTATGGACTTAATTCGCCTCGCTATCACTCGGCGTTTAATGGTCCATACTCCGTCACATAAAGTATCACTTAAACTCCTAATAACATAAATATCTATTATTACATCAGTTGAGATAAATATCGAGTAGTATAAAACCGTGATCAAGAGGTCACAACAATTACTACCAGTCCGAATAATGAAGATTCACAAAGTCAGAGATTAGAGGTAGGTTATGTAATTTAAATTGTAAATGGGGGGCCGTAATAATTTTAAAGAATAAATCCTTCAACTTGACAACTATCATTCATTTTATCACTACAGTTGTGTTTTCAGTGTTATTAAATCAGCATGATGTGGTGGATACTGGCGGCTGTAGCAGCTGTTTTGGGCTACTGGTTACTCACCCGCCCCCATAAGTATTGGATAAAAAAAGGGGTGAAACAAGGAAATCCTGCATTTATTTTTGGGGAAAGTTGGGCACAGACGATGCAAAAACAGTCATTTCCGGAAATGGTTGAGATGGTTTACAACATGTGTCCAAACACCAGGTGAGAAAATTTTGCCTGCTAGTAGTGTCCATTTTACTACTGTTTTAGGTACTCAGGATTCTATCAATTCTTCCTTCCAACTCTAGTTTTGAAAGATCCCGACCTAATTAAACAGATTACCGTCAAAGACTTCGACCACTTCGTCGACCATCAACCTTTTATTCCAGAAGATAGTGACCCTCTATGGAGTAACAATTTATTCGCCTTAAATGGGAAAAGGTGGCGCGAAATGCGAGCAACACTCAGTCCAGCTTTCACCAGTAGCAAAATGAAATACATGTTTTCTTTAATCTCACAAAGCGGCGAACAATTCGTGAACTACTTTTTGAAACAGAACGAAGATCTCATTACTGTTGAAATGAAAGACACCTTCACAAGATTCACTAATGATGTCATCGCCAATACCGCTTTTGGTGTAGAATGTGATTCTTTGGTTGACCGGAAAAACGAGTTTTTCTTAATGGGGAAAGAAGCCACAGACTTTAGCAATTTCTGGAAAAACTTAAAATTCATTCTATACTTTTTAGCACCCAAATTGTCTGATGTTTGTATTCTAACAACACAGTTACTTTGTAAACTAAGTTATCACTTTTTAGTTGTTCAAAGTGAGGTTCTTTTCAGAAGAAGTCAACAAGTTCTTCACCAGCTTAGTTAAAACTAATATTGAAAGTCGTGAAAAGCACGGAATTGTAAGACCTGACATGATCCATCTTCTCCTCGAAGCTCGAAAAAACGGGCTCAGACACGAAGAATCTCACTCGATTCAAGATACAGGTTTTGCTACAGTTGAGGAACACGAGTTTACCAAAAATGCCAAAAAGATTGAACGTGTTATGACAGATCAAGACATAGCCTCACAAGCGTTGATTTTCTTCTTCGCGGGTTTCGACACAGTTTCTTCTTTGATGAGCCTCATGTCGTACGAGCTTGCTGTAAATCCATACGTGCAAGACAAACTCGTGCAAGAAGTCGATGACACTTTAGAAACCTGTGGTGGTAAAATCAGTTATGAGGGTCTGCTTGGTATGAAATATATGGACATGGTAGTATCCGAGTCTTTAAGAAAATGGCCTAACACTGTTACTACTGACAGAATATCTACTAAACCCTATACCATTGAACCCAAATATCCAGACGAAAAGCCCCTACATCTCGAAAAAAATTCCAGTATCTGGATACCAATTTTTGCTATTCACCGGGACCCTAAATATTACCCAGAACCAGAAGGTTTTGATCCTGAAAGATTTAACGATGAAAACAAAGTTAACATTAAACCCTACACGTACTTGCCCTTTGGTATAGGACCTAGGAACTGTATCGGTTCTAGGTTTGCGTTGCTCGAGACAAAAATTTTGTTCTTTTATATTTTGTCCCATTTCCGGATAGTTCCTGTACAGAAGACTCCAATTCCTTTAGTTTTGTGCAAAAAGCAGTTCAATTTGAATGCAAGGGACGGGTTCTGGTTAGGGTTACAACGCCGTAATAAAATCTGATTAATTTCGAATTTTTGCCAATGTGTCAACACGTTGACATATTGTTCTACTTTTATAATATTTAGATGCTCTAGGTAAAGATGTATGTATATTTTAATAAATAATTAAACCAAAATCAACACCTTTGTTTCTGATAAAAACCCTAGTAGAGAAAAAGTTGTAATTGACGAAAAACTGAGTTTGATAACAAAGTGAGAATACTGAAAAGCAACCCACTACAAAGTGGCTTAAGGTAAGAATTCAAAACTTTGCCATTTTCGTTTTTTTTAATGATTTTGGAAAAAAATGATTGCCCAAAATTCAGCAAAAACAGTGGCCAATAGGTCACCAACCATTCCGCATAGCAAAAAGAAACCAAGTTAAAAATTAGAGGTAGGTCAAATGCAAGTGAGGCCTCCGTAACGATTTCAATGAATAAGTCCTTCAACTCGCCAATATCACTTATCACTAATTCTATTTTCAGTGTTATTAGGTCTGCACGATGTGGTGGATCCTAGCGGCTGTATCAGCCGTTACTTTGTGCTACTGGTTACTCAAACGCCCCCACAAGTATTGGATAGAAAAGGGGGTCAAACAAGGAAGTCCTAAATTTATTTTCGGGGATGGTTATGAACAGATGATGCAAAGACAGTCATTTCCGGAATTGGTTGAGATGGTTTACAACATGTGTCCAAACACCAGGTGAGAAAAATTGCTGTCGTCATTCATGCTATTATTTTAGTTTCAACAACTTTGTCATTATTTTAGGTACTCAGGGGTCTACCAGCTTTTTCGACCAACGCTGATTTTGAAAGATCCTGACCTTATTAAACAGATTACCGTCAAGGACTTCGACCATTTTGTCGACCATTTACGTTTTGTTTCAGAAGATAGTGACCCGCTGTGGAGTAATAATCTATTCGCTCTGAGTGGCAAGAGATGGCGCGAAATACGTGCTACACTTAGCCCTGCTTTCACCAGCAGCAAAATGAAATTTATATTCTCCTTAATCTCGCAAAGCGGCGAACAATTCGTGAATTACTTTTTGGAAAAAAACGAAGATGTCATTACCGTTGAAATGAAAGATATTTTCACAAGATTCGCTAACGACGTCATCGCCAACACTGCCTTTGGTGTTCAATGTGACTCTTTGATTGACCGCGAAAACGAGTTTTTCTTAATGGGAAAAGAAGCCACGGATTTTAGAAGTTTCTGGAAAAATATAAAATTCTTTGTATACTTTATAGCACCTAAATTGTCTGAAGTGTGTAACCTATTAACATGGTTATTTGTAAACTAAAGTGTTACTTTTTAGTTATTCCAAGTGAGGTTTTTTTCCAAAGAGGTCAGCGACTTTTTCACCAGTTTAGTTAAAACTAATATCCAAAGTCGCGAAAAGCACGGAATCGTAAGACCTGACATGATCCATCTTCTCCTTGAGGCTCGAAAAAAGGGGCTCAAACATGACGAGTCTCCTTCGATCCAAGATACAGGTTTTGCCACAGTCGAAGAACATGACTTTACCAAAAATGCCAAGAAAATCGAGCGTGAAATTACAGACCAAGACATCGCCTCGCAAGCGTTGGTGTTCTTCTTCGCGGGTTTTGACACAGTTTCGTCTTTAATGAGCCTCATGTCGTACGAGCTTGCTGTAAATCCAGACGTCCAAGAGAAACTCGTGAAAGAAGTCGACAATACTTTTGACAGCTGTCGTGGTAAAATTACCTATGAAAGTCTTCTTGGAATGAAATACATGGACATGGTTGTATCCGAGTCTTTAAGAAAATGGCCTAATACTGCTGCTGTTGACAGAATCTGTACTAAACCCTACACCATTGAAGCCAAATATCCAGACGAAAAGCCTCTACATCTAGAAAAAGATATTAGGCTTTTGATACCAATTTTTGCCATCCACCGTGACCCTAAATATTATCCAGAGCCAGAGCGGTTTGATCCCGAAAGATTCAGCGATGGAAACAAAGCTAACATTAAACCTTACACGTATTTGCCTTTTGGTAGTGGACCTAGGAATTGTATCGGTTCTAGGTTTGCACTACTCGAGACAAAAATTTTGTTCTTTTATATTTTATCGCATTTCCGGATTGTTCCTGTTGAGAAGACTCCGATTCCTTTGGTTTTGTGCAAAAAGCAGTTTAATTTGAATGCGAAGGATGGGTATTGGTTAGGGCTAAAACGACGTTCCAGAATCTGATTAATTGGTGCAAATGTAATCTACGAACCACTGTTTCACGTAAATTTGTGATAATGTGTCAATGTGTCAATATGTCTTGATATATTCTCCATTTTGAAAGTATATAGATGTTTTAGTGAAGAATGTATATACTTTTTAATAAAAAAATAAACTTAAATCAACACTTTTGAGCCTTTTTAGTTCCCTTTGTTTCTATTATGAATAGCTTTACTGACCAAATAATACCTTCTTGCATTCAAGACCTTTTTTGATGACTTTCGCGTATTCACCAGGATGCAAGGGGGTCGAACTTTCCGCACACGGGCTTTTTCCTTTCCGTTGTCATGATAACCTTGAAATACCCCGGAAACGTCAAATTGCTAAGTGTTTGCGGCGCTGTCAACTTCGTTCTTTGTAACTAACTCACAGTTAATCTTTTCGGCTTCTCGTTCATGCGGGAAGCAGGCTATCCCGAACTAGTTGTATAAATTACTATTTCGATTTCCTTATACAGGGTGATGCAAAAAAAATAATGTCCCAATTTATTTTATTCATTAAATCAAGAACTGCAAAACCGAATGCCTTGAAGTCTTGCAGACGTTTTGAAGTTATTGCAGGCATGGTAAATTTTTAACCAAAATCTCTTTATTCCCGGAGAATAAAATTTTATAATTTTTCGAAAATGCTGGATATGTTTCACTTTACTTCAGGAGCGAGGAAGACCAATTTATTTATTTTTTAACATAGTTTAACTATCTAAGGTACAAATACAGTTTCGAAAAATTACCAAATTTAAGGTTTAATTTTTTTGATGATGACCAATATGAGCCATGCGTTGATTATTAAAGTACAGGTGAAGAAGCATCGTACGCATATCTTTCTAGTGAGTTTTTCCATATACAATTTTTTTGATGACGACATCAACATTTTAGCATGTATATCAATTTGAATAGGTGGAGTGTCTTAATAGTAATGACAGTACTATATTCTCAAAATTTCAGGAAAATGGGATGGACAATAAAACGTGTGGCTTCATTCAGACGGAAACGAAAGACATATGTTTTCATATTTTAGGAACCAGAAAATGTCGGGAAAACATAGAAATGGTCAGTCGCCTGATGGACTCGATTACAATACTTCCTCAGCTTCCGCTTGGGAAGAAAAAGGGTGGACGAATTAATTCTCTAGTCAAGTGGAATAGTGTCGGACAAAATCAGTATCCTCGTAAAGTAAGTGTTTAGTACAGGCTCCTAAAGAATAGGGTAAATGAGCTCTGTTTTGCCTGGAATTTTTTTTTGGAAATAATTTAGTTTCCTGAGAACCAAAATCCGGTATTACTCGATGCTCATTTCATGTAACGGGTGCATATTTTGCTTTTTTATAAATTTTTGCGCTAATTTAAAAAACTTTATTGTCATTCTATCGACACTTATCTAAAAAGACGAAATTTCATGAATCATGTTGTAAATATTCTCCTGAGCTTCAAATAACCAGGAAAGGTTTGGGTTTTATGATAGTTTGGAGAAATCACTGGGTGTTAGCCGTCCTTCCAGGTAAATTCGGCCTCTAATTGCTTTGGAAATACGGTTCATTCCAAATATTTTTGTTCGTTATGTAAGTGTATTAATAGTATGTTTTGCGGTAGTCGAAGTGACGTTATCCCGTTAATTTTCATCGTGAGTTTGCATCGTAAGCATTTAAAGCTATACACGTGTGTTAGTTAGTCGAAGATAACTCAAATTAATTGATGGATTAAACCTTTTCCGGAACTTATTTTTCAAGAAGGAACTGTGTTTTGTCGCACCTGCTCCAAACCGGTAAGTATTTTTTCTATTTTTATATCTGTGTATGTAGAAAAAACGCAGTTTTTCTATTTACAAACACATTCTTTAGGATCACCAGCAAAATTTTTGCTAGAATATTTCGAAAGCTATCTAAAATTAAATTGTTACCAAAATAGTAATTAAATAGTCGATTACTACTATTTTTTAATTTGTTCTGTATATATTTATTTTTACTTCCCGAGCGTAGGCGAAAAAAGTATTGTAATCGAGTCCGTCGGCCGACTTTTATCTTTCATTCATGACCCCTAGAGTACGAAGAAATAGGTCTCCCGTTTCCGTCTGTCTGTCTGTCTGTCCGTTTGTCCCTTTGTCTGCCGTGTCTTATTAGACAGATTATCTCCGAAAGAACTGGGCCGATTGTTGTCAAATTTTGTATTTATATTAGGAATATTGTGTAGATGGTAAAACGCTAACCAAAATTTATCTAATCATCGCCACCAATAATGTGATGACGTCACTTCAAAATTATACATAGAAAGTGGGTTTTAAATTGTATAAACTAACATAGTCCTGCACATGTAGTTTATGACTTCGTGTTGACTTTTACCCAAAACGTCCAGATTTTTGGAAAAAAATTAAAATTAGAAAACAACATTTTGTAATTTAAGTTTGAAGTGTGGTCCAAAAAAATTAACGAAAGCGTGAATTTGTTTTATTGATTTAATCAGGAACTGCAAAACCGAATCCTTTGAAGTCTTGGAGATGTTTTAAAGTTATCATAAGCATGGTAAAGTTTTGATCAAAATGTATTTGCTCATCCCCTTAAAAAATTAATGACGTCATCTCAAAATATTGCTGATTTTATTTTTTAAAAGTGTGCAAAATATGATGAGTCTATACTTGTGATTTACTTTTAATATATAATTGATATTTTTTAAATTTGCTTATACAGGGTGTCTCAGAAAAATTAATGACTGAGTTGTTAAAAAATAAATATCCAAACATATTCAGGAATTTAACTCGTTACTATGGAATTATGCAATTTAACACCTTTTAAATTTCTACAAGTTTAATAGGCGCAAAGTTAGTCTTATCTTAGCAAGTGCTAGCCCCGCCCACCCGCCCACTACTTTCTCAGAGGGTATGGCGTTTGCCAAAATCAGTCTTATCTGAGCAAGTGCTAGCCCCACCCACCCGCCCCTATTTTCTCAGAGGATATGTCATCTGCCAAAATAATACTTATCTTACTAGCAAGTACTATCCTCTGAGAAAATAAAGGGCGGGTGGGCGTGGCTAGTACTTGCTAACATAACTCTCATTTTGGTAAATGACGTATCTTCTGAGAAAATAGAGGGCGGGTGGGCGGGCCTAGTATTTATTAAGATAAAACTGATTTTACCCCTATTAATCTTGTAAAAACTTTATTCATTTTATAAGTTCTTTATTTTCACTTTTTATAATTTCACAAATACTGGTCAAAGTGACTTTTTCGTCAATTTCAGCACATTTAAGGTGTTTGATACCGTAGTATATACTGACAAAGAACTCGCTCAGTTCATAATTAATTGACTCTAAAACTTCATCATTTTCAGAGTGACTGAGTTCTACTGCGATTAAGGACTAAACGCTTTTTCCCTTGAATTCAAGCACCTAATTATAAATAAAAACTTTTTATTACGACATTCGAGATAAAACTCAAGTAGTATAAAACCGTGATAAAGAGGTCACAGCAGTCAGAGATTAGAGGTAGGTGGAGAGGTTTCAATCATAAGTGGGGGGCCCGTAATAATTTTAACGATAAATCCGGCCACTTGATGATTATCATTCATTTTATCGCTATAGTTTTGTTTTCAGTGTTATTAAATCAGCACGATGTGGTGGATACTGGTGGCTGTAGCAGCTGCCCTGGGCTACTGGGTACTGATCCGCCCCCATAAATATTGGTTAAAAAAGGGGGTGAAACAAGGAAATCCTGCATTTATTTTTGGGGAAAGTTGGGCAAAATTGACACAAAAACAGTCATTTCCGGAAATGGTGGAGATGGTTTACAACATGCATCCAAACACCAGGTGAGAAAAATTTTGCGGTTATCACCAAGGTGCAACGTTACTGTTTTAGGTACTCAGGATTCTATCAATTCCTCTTACCAACTCTAGTTTTGAAAGACCCCGAACTTATTAAACAGATTACCGTCAAAGATTTCGACCACTTCGTCGACCATCAACCTTTTATTCCAGAAGATAGTGACCCTCTGTGGAGTAGCAATTTATTAGCCTTAACTGGGAAAAGGTGGCGCGAAATGCGAGCAACCCTCAGTCCAGCTTTCACCAGCAGCAAAATGAAATACATGTTCTCTTTAATTTCACAAAGCGGCGAACAGTTCGTCAACTACTTTTTGAAAAAGAACGAAGATGTCATTACCGTTGAAATGAAAGACATTTTCACAAGATTCGCTAACGACGTCATCGCCAATACCGCTTTTGGTGTAGAATGTGACTCTTTGGTTGACCAAAAAAACGAGTTTTTCTTAATGGGGAAAGAAGCCACAGATTTTAGCAGTGTCTGGAAAAATTTTAAATTCTTTCTCTACTTTCTAGCACCTAAATTGTCCGAGGTTTGTATTCTAACAACACAGTTACTTAATTAGACTAATTTATCACTTTTTAGTTGTTCAAAGTGAAGTTCTTTTCAGAAGAAGTCAGCAACTTTTTCACCAACTTAATTAAAACTAATATTCAAAGTCGCGAAAAGCACGGAATTGTAAGACCTGACATGATCCATCTTCTCCTCGAAGCTCGAAAAAATCGTCTTAGACACGAAGAAAGTCACTCGATCCAAGATACAGGTTTTGCTACAGTTGAGGAACATGAGTTTACCAAGAATGCCAAAAAAATTGAACGTGTACTGACAGATCAGGACATAACCTCACAAGCGTTGGTTTTCTTCTTCGCGGGTTTCGAGACAGTTTCTTCTTTGATGAGTCTCATGTCTTACGAGCTTGCTCTAAATCCAGACGTCCAAGACAAACTCGTGCAAGAAGTGGATGATACTTTGGGAACTTGTAATGGTAAAATTACTTATGAGGGTCTTTTTGGTATGAAATACATGGACATGGTTGTATCCGAGACTTTAAGAAAATGGCCTAACACTGTTATTACTGACAGAATCTGTACTAAACCCTACACCATTGAAGCTAAACATCCGGATGAAAAACCTCTACACCTAGAAAAAAATACCACTATTTGGATACCTACTTTTGCCATTCACCGGGATCCTGAATATTATCCAGAACCTGAACGTTTTGATCCCGAAAGATTTAAAGACGAAAACAAGACTGACATTAAACCTTACACGTACTTGCCTTTTGGTGTCGGACCCAGGAATTGTATTGGGTCTAGGTTTGCACTGCTAGAAACAAAAATTTTGTTTTTTTATATTTTATCGCATTTCCGTATAGTTCCTGTGGAGAAGACTCCGATTCCTTTAGTTTTGTGTAAAAAGCAGTTTAATTTGAACGCAGAAAAAGGGTTTTGGTTAGGACTTAAACGCCGTTGTAAAATCTAACTTCATGTTCATACTTACCAACTTGCCAATTTTAAGTTATTTAAATATTGTGTCAAAAATGTATGTACATTTTAATAAACAACCTTATATAATGTCTTTTTCTCTGTCCTCCGTTCTCACTAATGAGCCTATAGAATTCAGAAATTTTTAAAAGTCAACAATTCTTTCAAGTTATTTTCTTAAATTTGCACATCTATTTATAAATGGAAGTTTGCTATTACCAATAGTTATTACCATTCCGAATAGTAAAGAGAAACAAAATTAGATATTAGAGGTAGGTCAAACACAAGTGGGGTCCCGTAACGATTTCAATGAATAAGTCCTTCAACTCGCCAATATCACTTATCACTAATTCTGTTTTCAGTGTTATTAGGTCTGCACGATGTGGTGGATCCTGGCGGCTGGGGCAGCCGTTACTTTCTGCTACTGGTTACTCAAACGCCCCCATAAGTATTGGATAGAAAAGGGGGTCAAACAAGGAAGTCCTAAATTTATTTTCGGCGATGGTTGGGAACAGATGATACAAAGACAGTCATTTTCAGAAATGGTTGAAATGGTTTACAAAATGTGTCCAAATACCAGGTAAGCAAAATTTTGCTATCATCATTCATGCTACTACATTTTATTATTATTTTAGGTACTCAGGGATCTACCAGTTCTTCCAACCCACTCTGGTTTTGAAAGATCCTGACCTTATTAAACAAATTACCGTCAAGGACTTCGACCATTTCGTCGATCATCTACGTTTTGTTTCAGAAGACAGTGACCCGCTGTGGAGTAACAATCTATTCGCTCTGAATGGCAAAAGATGGCGCGAAATACGAGCTACCCTCAGCCCCGCTTTCACCAGCAGCAAAATGAAATTTATATTCTCTTTAATCTCGCAAAGCGGCGAACAATTCGTGAACTACTTTTTGAAAAAGAACGAAGATGTCATTACCGTTGAAATGAAAGATGTTTTCACAAGGTTCGCTAGCGACGTCATCGCCAACACTGCCTTTGGTGTTCAATGCGACTCTTTGATTGACCGCGAAAACGAGTTTTTCTTAATGGGAAAAGAAGCCACAGATTTCAGAAGTTTCTGGAAAAATATAAAATTCTTTCTTTACTTCATAGCACCTAAATTGTCAGAAGTGTGTATCGCAATAACACAGTTATTATAAACTAATCTATTTCTTTTTAGTTATTCAAAGTGAGATTCTTTTCAGAAGAAATCAGCAACTTTTTCACCAGTTTAGTTAAAACCAATATCCAAAGTCGCGAAAAACACGGAATCGTAAGACCTGACATGATCCATCTTCTCCTTGAAGCTCGAAAAAAGGGGCTCAAACACGACGAGTCTCCCTCGATCCAAGATACAAGTTTTGCTGCAGTTGAAGAACATGACTTTACCAAAAATGCCAAGAAAACTGAGTGTGAAATAACAGACCAAGACATCGCCTCACAAGCTTTGGTTTTCTTTTTCGCGGGTTTTGACACAGTTTCTTCTTTGATGAGCCTCATGGCTTACGAGCTTGCTGTAAATCCAGACGTCCAAGAGAAACTCGTGAAAGAAGTCGATGGCACTTTTGAAACCTGTGGTGGTAAAATCACTTATGAGTGTCTTCTTGGAATGAAATACATGGACATGGTTGTATCCGAGTGTTTAAGAAAATGGCCTAATACTGCTGCTACTGACAGAATCTGCACTAAACCCTACACCATTGAAGCTAAATATCCAGATGAAAGGCCTCTACATCTAGAAAAAAATATTAGGGTTTGGATACCAATTTTTGCCATTCATCGGGACCCTAAATATTATCCAGAACCAGAGCGGTTTGATCCTGAAAGATTTAGTGATGAGAACAAGGCTAACGTTAAACCCTACACGTACTTGCCTTTCGGTACTGGACCCAGGAATTGTATCGGTTCTAGATTTGCGTTACTCGAGACAAAAATTTTGTTCTTTTATGTTTTATCGCATTTCCGGATAGTTCCTGTACAGAAGACTCCGATTCCGTTGGTTTTGTGCAAAAAGCAGTTTAATTTGAATGCAAAGAACGGTTATTGGTTAGGGCTAAAACGCCGTTCCAAAGTCTGACTAACTGGTATAAATGTAATCTATGAATGTTTCTCCCATTTTGAAAGTATTTAGATGTTTTAGTCAAGAATATATATAATTTTTAATAAATAAATAAGCTTATTAAATCAACATATTTAAACCTCTTTTGTTTCTTTTACTTCTAATTCGAATAACGTTATTGATCAAATAAGACCTTAGGACATTAAGAATATAGAACCGAAGAAATTCAAAAAACCTATGAAACTCAAGAAACATAAATCATATTTAAAGTGCATAAAATACTGTGGAATTAGATTTGTGGAGTAATTGCAACCAATAAAAAAATGTGCAACGATGAATTTTTTGGAAATATAAAAAACCAAACGGTAAGACAAAATTTTGTATATACCACGGGTATTTGAAATTTATTGTATCAAGTACATAAATTACTTCATAATACCCTTGATACATAAATAACTAGTGTGGTCTAGTTTTTCTTCTGCTTTCGACTTAGAACTTAGGAAAAATTCAAAATTTGGCCTTGAACTGTGATTGTCAACGGAAGTCGAACCCTACGTTGTGTTTTTTTAATGGCGGAATGCGTTCAAATGCAAAGTAGTACCCTGAGGTTGGAAAAACGCCGCTAAATCAAACACAAGATATGGAGGAAAAAATTGTTTTTTCCTCCATTCTGGGCAGGCGAGAAAACTGACCAAGTACACTTTCGACAAATTGAAGACCCCTTAGTTCTCGGCTACAAAAAACCTCCCTACCTTCCAAAATCAAATCAAATCAAATCAAATAATACTTGAATAGTTACCTACTTAAGAATACGATTTAATCATCTGTTATTTCAAGTTATTAATTAAGTCAAAATGCCCTCACTGATTACCTCGTGGTCCGAAATCCCCACATCATACGCAAACAAAGAACACCTTCAGTACGATCAAAATTATAATAAGCTCGTCTCGGAAAGGCTCGGCGTACTTTGGTAATAAATGTTCAAATTCAAGCCGCAAAATAATTAGACCTGCAAGAGAATAATTAAACCTGAAATTTCGTTTTGCGAGTCTACCGGGGTATGAATTTAACCCGCAAATTTTCATGATTATCAATCTCGAATGAAAAGTTAAGAAGTGTGCTAGAGTGTAATTGTTTAATAATAACATCTCGAAACTTTAAGTATGGTAGTTATGTCTATGTAACATCAGCTTAATACTGTCTAGATACTTTATTTACAATTTATCTATTTTCTCATTTAACAGATTTAAGTAAGATTATAATAACATAATAATCTTGTCATTAATTAACAATATTAAGAGTATTCATCAGAATACAGAGAGGGGCGGGTGGGCGGGGCTATTGCTTTCATATAACAGTCTGAAAACTTATCTCCGCCCACCTCCTTTCTCCGTTCCTCTGCTTTATTTTAATTATCATAGGAATTGACTTCTGATTTTAAAATCCGTAGAATCTAAAATTTAAAACAAAATAAAAATAACCCCACCCACCCACCCCTACTCCGTTTTGATAACTCCTTTCAATGGCTCTGTGACGGAAGTTGCATTTTATATTGACAAATAATAGAATTTCCGACTATTTTTTTTTTATAAAATTTTAATTATAATTCGAAAAACGACCTTGCTGTCAGCGTTAACGCAGAAATAATTGAAAATCATATAAAGTAGACACAATGAGCTATAACTGTGACGCCACCCCTTTTCTCCGGGCGAATGAAACGATTTATTAAGGTTGAGTTTGTGCGAGTGGGAGGAGCATCAATAATATTGCTTTTGAAATATAATTCTTACGTCTGATACGCTTATTTAACACCATTTTAATATTGTCTAGATATTTTGTTTATAATTTATTTATTTCTTCCCCAACGGTTTAACAGATTTGTAGTAAAAAGCTAAACTTAGCTCCGCCCATCTATTTCTCCATTTCTCTGACTTATTGTGTTTATTATAAAGTTAGAATTGAATTCTATTTTGACAAGCGGTAGAATCTAAGATTTACAGCAAAGTCAAAAGCGGCCCCACCCACCCACCCGTATTCCGTTTTGATAACTCATTTCATTGTCCCTGAGACAGAAGTTGAATTTTATATTGAAATATTTAAAAATCATAATAAAGTAAACTCTATTAGGTAGAATTATGAACGCCGCCTCTCTTTTCCGGGTCAATGATATGATTTTTAAGGTGGAGCTTCTGCTAGTGGGAGAAGCGTGAGTAATAGGAATTGAACAAAATAAAAATAACCCCACCCACCCACCCCTACTCCGTTTTGATAACTCATTTCATTGGCTCTGTGACGGAAGTTGCATTTTATACTGACAAATAATAGAATTTCCGACTATATTCTTTATAAAATTTTAAATCTAATTCGGAAAACGACATTGCTGTCAGTGTTAACGCATAAATATTTGAAAATCATATAAAGTAGACACAATGAGCTATAACTGTGACGCCACCCCTTTTCTCCGGGCCAATGAAACGATTTATTAAGGTTGAGCTTGTGGGAGTGGGAGGAGCATCATATTGCTTTTGAAATATAATTCTTACTTCTGATACGCTTATATAACACCATTTTAATATTTTCCAGATATTTTGTTTATAATCTATCTATTTTCTCCCCAACGGGTCTGAGACAGACGTTGAATTGACGAATAATAGAATATAGAACTACATTTTTTCAAGTGAAATTTTGATTTTTGTTCAAAAAACGACTTTGCCGTCAGAATTGTGAACCCCGCCCCTCTTCTCCGGGTGAATGGTACGATTTTTTAAGGTGGAGCTTGTGCGAGTGGGAGGAGCGTCAGTAATATTGATTTTAAATCTGATTCTTAAGTGTCATATGCTTATTTAACACCAGCTTAAGACTTTCTAGATAATTTATTTACAATTTATCTATTTTCTCATCAACAATTTAACAGATTTGATTTGATAAAATAATAATCATATAGCAAAATTTTTAATTCAAACTTGGAAACCACAATTATGATAACCTGTCCACTATAAACTGGCTTAAAATAACAATATAAAACTTTAC